AATATTAAATACATTTCAATAAGCTGAGGAACTTCTGACTCCTTGTCAATCATAAGAAGTTCAAGTAATTGTTTGGAACATTCAGCTGGTCTGCTCAAGAAATAAGAACTTAAAGCTTTCCAGGAAAGTAAGATTCTTTTGATGCATGATTGCAGAGATAGCCACGTAGTAGGTACATGACGCAGAATTTCATGAAATTCCGTCTCTTTTGTTCTCGTCTTTTTGCTGACATTGGGACATGACTGTAAATTTTCAAGACAATATTTTCAATGTCAACATTCGAATTTCCTAAAGCAAATTACAATGTATTGTGTACAATGTGTGCACTGCAGTTAGCCTTAATAATACACCATCATTTAGTGTGCGAACATTAGTATAAAGAGAATGTTTTTCTCCAGAGTTGCAATTTGCGTTATCTGCACTTAAACAAAAAACTCTTTTCCAAGCAAGTTGTAAATTGTTCATAGTGTTTTTCAAACAAGTGAACATTGCATCCGCACTTTCATCTGCATTCTCGAAAAAATCAATAATATAGGTAACTGTGCCATGTTCCAAGCTAAAATAAATTTCTTTTTTGGCTATTTGACCCGGACCAAAGCAAAATTAAAAAGAATATTTAAAAGCTTCAATTACATAAACGGAGGCGATTTAAAAACGGAACAATATCAAACACAGTACTGTAACTATCGGGCAAAACGATGTTGGAAAAAATAAAGGACAATTATCGTCTTAAAAAAGACAAGGACAAAAATCTCAAATAAAGGATTGTCCTTTAAAATAAAGGACGGTTGTCAACCCTATTTGTGAGTCTGTGCTGTGCAAGCAGGGGCGTATCATCCGTAGGATTAGGACTTTGATGCGCAATGTTTTGTATAAGCCATTCAAAACATTCATCGGAAAAAATCAAAACTATCAGTACAAAAGAAAACAACTTTTACTTACATTCAATTCTCCTGATTCTTTTAACTGGGAATTCTTTGCCTAAAATTTTAAAACGGAACGTCTACAGTTACACCATGGTTTTTATTTTTGCTCTATGGTTAATCCAACTTTGCGTGTAGGCAGTCTTTATTAATGGAATCCATTATCAAATTTCACATTCGACGATAGTCAATTTGCGAATAAATAGTATTTTATTCTGTCATCACAGTCATTTTTATGATTGCACTCTGCGTTGGAAATTGGAATCTATAACAATGTCAATGACTAATAATTTTCTTGGATACCAGATAGTGTCAATTCAAATTTCCTACTATTCATCTACAGATCAGGATAATCGATTTAGAATTTGAAGATTTGTGTTAACAATGCTTTGTGGCTTTGTTCAAGTCTGTCTAGGTAGAAGAAAGCTTTGTGCAGTAGTATTGAAGTGATCTTCCCAGCTTTTGATTTTGTTCGATTCCACGAGTATTAAAAAATGTATTGGCAGCTAGGTATGATAAGAAGTAACATGCAAACTCTATCGCCTTACCAAAAGGAAAATGAATTAGTAATTAGGAAATAGAGTAGATAGCCATAAAGTAGAATTGTAAAAAACGCTCCGTTAAAAATATACTATGTTAAGTTGTGTGGAATGAAACGCAAGTGATCTAGTTCCACAGCTCACTATAAGAATAGTTAGTCTCGAGCCTTGTTGTTCTTGCTAAACCTTACAGCTGTCAGAAGGTCGACGCTATTTAATTAGTAAAACATCTTAAATCTTTTAATAAAAGATTTTGTAGTTAGATAGGCATGTAACATCAGCTATCCAGTAATGGTAAACTAATAAGATATTAATTTTATCCCGATAAAAAAATACCGATAAAACAACGTTATCATGTGGTGTACCACGATTTTTCGTCAGATTGCCAGTCCAGCCTATGAAGGTCAAGCAATCCTACTCCACATAATTATTATTCATCTCGGAGTTCGAACCAACCCATACAAGATAATAAATTGGAAAGGATATGTTGAGAACAATGTGACATGTGAACTGGAATGACCCACGATTTAAAAAGGCGGTAGCATTGAATAAAATTAGCATTATATTATTTCCACAAAGTTTACGATTTTGAGACGATTTTTTTGTTGATCAGTTTCCGATAAAAAAAAATCCGGTATCTCCGCGGAAGGGTTAATCTGTCGCGGCACTCCGAAAACAAAATTTATGGTGTTTTCCGTTATGTCACCGCTTTTTATTATTTATATTAACTTCTTTATTTCAGTCGGAGATTGAATTTCGGAGCGTTTTGTCTCAGATGATCGCATAATAGCGAGTTCTTCACAATTAACGCACAGTTCCGGACGAAAAAAAACCCTTTATCGACGTCCTCTGGCCTATGACCAGGGGAATCGTGAGATAGGGAGAATTACCGGTAATATAGTTTAACGACAAAATGCCGCTGTTCACGGCCTGTTTACCCATGCTGGAAAAAACAATCAGCGATTTTAACTGAATTTGTCTAATCGATAATACGCAATCGCCTCTTTTGATTTTTCGCTCCTCTTTTATCTCTTCCGGCCACTCTAAAACACCCTCAAAATAAGTATCAACATTTTTGCAATAGTAAAAAAGTACCGGTATAGGAGAATTTTCCTGGGATAAATTATTATCGGTTTATGGTCAATTACATAAAATCAAGCATTCTGTAACTGAGTGTAACTCATTACAGTTCGCACTTCGCAGACGCCTATCGTGATTTTCATTGACCAAACCCACAATTTGCCTCGCCCGCTATTCGTACAAGGGTCGCCATCGCCGAATCGCTTGTTCCGTTCGCCACGGTACTTACCGTACTTCTGTAAGTTCTGTTTGAGTTTCGCCGTTTCGTTTCGTACTTCTGTAAGTTCTGTTTGAGTTTCGCCGTTTCGTTTATGTAAAGTCTATTATTGTCCAAGACAAAGTTCTGTAATTCTACGTATTACCGTATAAGGAAAAAGTGTTTTGAATTTGTTCTGCAATTCTAGGACATATATATGTGCGTCGTTTGCCCTAGGCTTACCAGAACCATTCGATCTCGTAGTTCCGCTGTATTACTATCCCTATGGGCATAGCTGTATTGTACCGGTACCTATGGCAGCACCCGTACCGGTAGCGGTACGGCTGTACGGTCAGAGAGTCGGAGATTTCGTTTTTTTCAATCTTTCGCTGTTCTTGTTCTGTTTCTGTGTTTAGGCATATTTTATCTTCTTTTGCTGTAAGGGTAATTCTGCGATGGCAGTGATTACAGTGTACCAGTAGACTAACATCTTTCCGCTTTTCTGTCTGTACTTTATGGTAATCAGGGTACCCATGCCATAGTTCTGTAGTTTATTTTTTCACCATAGTCATACTGGAAATACTCATTGTACTACGTACAGACATATGCCTGTATGTCGTCCAGAATGAAATAAAAATATGCATTTTAGAATCTGCAGAATGAAGGGAGAACACTCTGTTCGGACAGTAGATTAGGGATCTCGTGTAGTTTCGTACTTCTAGTGGGCGTAGCATTTTTTTGATATGTCAATCTTAACCCCCATCTGACTACGCCATCCAAAAATTATGTCACTACGACATCACAATCACGTCATAGAGCTTGCCAAATATACGTACGATCGCGGTTAAGATTGATATGTGAAAAATTGTCATGCTACGCTCACTAGAAGTATGTTAGGTACGAAACTACATGAGACCCTAGATTAAATTATCATTATCGTAACTTGTTTCTGTGTTTGGTATGGTCAGATGGTAGACTGCTTGATATGCCTGATATTTTGTTATCACTGAACTATCACCATACAGTACTGTATTACTTACCGTACTACTGTACTAGGCTATACTGTATCAATTATACCTGTATCCGGTACCACTTTCAGAGTTTATTCTGGTATAGAGTTATAGCAGTGAAGCTCAGATCCCTGACACCTTCAGTTGCGGCACACTTTACAGATCGAGCGACATTGTGTAGTTTCAGATAATCCCATTTTAACGATGAACATGGACTCTTATTTTCAAGAACACAGGTTGTTGCTGTTTCTCAATATTGGTGCAAAAACAGTATTGAGGATGCGCATTGAACTTAAAAAAGCGTAACCTAGAACAACCACCATTGGGTTTCTCGGCAAAAAAATAATCCGATATACCTGTATACTGAAAGAAAGTAAATTTGCAGAAGTGCTTGTTAGAAATGAGCAGACAACGATCTGCAGCGAAAACGAGGTCCGATGATGTCACTGAATTTCAATTGGCGCACGCAGGCACATCTGGCTTCCATTGACGCACAGCTTTAGCTTAGCATGAAAGAACTGGATTCAACTATCAGTACTTTCTCATGAAATATTGAATATCTTGGAACAAAATTGTTGTCATGAAGATATATATATGCTATATCTCGCTAAAACTCTTAAAATATGCATCTAAAATCATAAAACGAATTATAAGAAGAATTCTATGAGGTCAGGATTGGGAACATTTATTTGCCTAAGTAGGCTAATTGCTTCTTTCGAAAGGGTGCAGTTCTCCGATTCCAAGATTTCCCGATACACCTGGCATATTGCGTCTGTATTGAGGTCAGCCAACATTCATGATAAATACATAAAACATTATTTTTGAAAGGCCCTAAGGATGAGAGATGTCAGTTTAAAAAATTCTCTAATAATACGTTCTCTCATATAAAACTTGTTATGAAATTAGGATATTTGTTTCATTGAAGCAAACACTCTTATGCGCATAAACGAGGGCGTCTGGCATGACAGCAGATGTATTAGGTCGCACCATGCTTGTCACAATAATAATTCAAATCAATCTTGTCAGACCTCATATGACTAAAATTCTCTCTCGCCAAATTACGTGCAGTCCAATGGCAATGTTTTTAGATTGCGCTTCCTTTTAGTTTATTGTGCGGTGCCAGTTTGACAATTTGGGTTTTATTCACTGTTATAATTGATGTCTTAGAACTATGCCGTACTCTCTATAGCCATACCTATCCTCTTTTTGTTGAAATTTTCATGCTTCAGTGGTTGTATTCCTGTAGTCTTACATATTCTTCCTTCTTAGAATTTATTGAAACAAGTGAAATATATATATATTTGTTATTTGTATTGGTGCTACAAAAAAGAAACTGTAGTTGGGAGTTTATGCTACTGGATATATACTAATACCGAAGCTTTTTTCTGGCACAAGGTGCTAGGAGTAGCGGATCTGAACGCTGGCAAAATGGACATAATATGGAATAAAATTGCTGGCATATCTTTGCTTTTGCTCATTATTCAGCCAACTTGGTCTTCAACTACTTCTGCAAAAAATGGATATATTTCACATAAATTTGAGGGCGATTCTCAATTTCCTTTACTTCATCTGACACTCAATAACAGGGATGGATATGTCTACATCTCTGCTGTTAACAGGTATTTAGCTTTGTATTTTTATGAGAAAAACTTGAATTTGGGGTTGATACGAATACACAATTGTGCATTCCCATTTTGGTTTTCTCGAAATACGCGCCCACAAATAGGCTGCTTTTAGTTGAACTGTATCACCAATTTTTGTCATATGTCATTTCTAACCCCCACCTGACTACGTCATCCGAAAATGACGTCACTGCTAGATCATAGTGACGTAATAAGGCCCTTCCGAAGTATACGGATCGCTGTCAAAACGTGCGGATAACATAATTTTTAGACGAGGTAGTCAGGTGGGGGTTATGAATATTATATGCAAAGATCTTTAGGCTACGCCCACAATAAGTACTCGTGTGCGTCGAAAAATATGAGGTTATTCTGTACTTTCATGAGGATGTAATTATATTAGGGTGCTGCTTTAGTATGAAGTCTACCAACATATTGCAGAGTAATCCCAAAATAGCTTATGTCATATTTTTCGGGATTGGACTTTTCTGATTTTCTGTCATTTTAGACCAGAGACCATGTTTTGGTCTGGATATCAAAGCTATACCTGTTTTAATTTTGATTTTAGTTAAGCCCTATAGCGTCAGTAGCTTTTGACATTTTAGTTGTCATTCTTAGCTTTACTCATGGAACATTCTCTCCAATTTCTGAGTGAGTTTGGGTGAAATTGCTTCGAGAAAATGTTGTTAAAAAGGTCTTGTGTCCGTTTTCAGGTTTTTATTGTTAGAACAAAACAATTACAAAACTGCAATTTCCACAAAACATTAAAATATGACATGATTAACATGAACCTATTTGGTTCGGCTTTGGTAATATGTCGTCTGCCCAGTTGCAGTCCGCTAATCTTCGTATCTTCATATTTAATTTTTTTTCAGAGCTCAGACAATTGCCCACTTTTTAACCTATCCAATCTTAACCTGAAAGAAATGGAATCAAAATTAGTGCTTTTACAATGATTTGATAGTACCAGTAGTCCATTAAGTACTTGTATATAATACTCTTGTTTCACATTGTAATAGAACTTGATAAACTGTATACCCAGCGGTCAGATTCAGCATTTAGGGGATTTGCACATGTTTCGGTGTGTCCATTCCTAAAATGTCATGTTGGATGTTAGACGACCGTAACAAATAGGTTATGTTCATCCACAGCTGTCATATTTGGCATTTTGAAAGTTATATATTTGAATTACTGTAAAGTGTGTCCTGTAAATGCGATTGATATACATTTTCTGAAATGAAGGAACGTGGTGTTAGTTAGTTCGATATAAAAGTAAACTCTCACTTAAAACAAATTGTGATTCCTACTTCTGTGTCTGTTCATTATTAATACTCAAATTGTAATTCAGAATTTACCAACTTTCCAAAGACATGTCCACAAGTTCCCTCAATCAAGTTGATACTGGACCAGTGAATGATTCAGTTCAGTGTTTACCTTATGGCAAGCAATGTGAACCAAATCAGAATGTTTTGAAGCTCAGCGATAATTATAACAAACTTTTATTAATGGATATGGACAGAGGAAGATTGCTAGTTTGTGGAAGTATTTATCAGGTATGTATTCTCATTTATCCCTTTAATACTACCTTGTACCAATATCATTGTATCAATGGCCAAATACAGATTAAAACAGGGGTTCTGAACCTGGGATTCTCGAACCCCAGGGGTTCACGAGGATATTTCCAGGGGTACTTTGATAACAGTTGAGTTTCCATGCATTGCTATTTTTTAATATCCTTTGTTAATGTTATGACGCAACAATGTGAAATCCATGACTTTGCAGCCAAACTGAAATCTCAAAAGACAATGTGCTACAATCATTGCAGAAAGTGATATGGTGATTGAAACCTGACAGAGATTTTAGGAATTCATTAATTGGGCTGGAATTTAGTTGTTGTTACAGCAAATTGTTAGTCAATATATTACGCCTTTGTTTTATGTCTGAGAACGGTTTAATTTTTATATATTTTTCTTAGTTCATACTATCTATTCATACTATTTGTATTATTAAACTTGGAAGAGTAGAATTCAACAATATCAGTTTAATTTGATATCTCTCTAATCATTGCTTAGTGTTGAAGAAAGTTTCATGATATTGACATCTGGAAAAATGGGTACTCTCGTATTGTGTGTACCAGGTTAGGGTTAGGACTTAATTTTATACCGATTTTCCTTAATTTAGTTCTATTACGAGTTCAGGGACTGTCTGTGTTAGCCAAGTAAATATTCCCATGCCCATAGGCTTCAGTTCCTTTACACAACTTGGCGAACGTAATTAGTTACCTCTATTGGCACACATAGCTAACTTCTAGAGTGCCGAAAAATGTTTTAAAAATTGCAGACACTCAAGAATTTAGTTTTAGAAATATTTCATCGTTGCTAAATACCATAACCTGAAATGACATACTCCTATAATGACTCTTACTTAATCTCCATAAAGGATTTACATTTTTCTCTCTCAAGATAAGAGGATTATGTTGTGATTGATTGGTAAAAACTAGGTTTTGTAATTGCCGCTTGTGTCCAACAATATTTGTTTTTCTGTAAAATTAGAAATCCTCTCATTGGTGGAATAATAAAACAACAAAATATATATGAAATTGCTAGTTTTTCCTTCTCGTTTCATTTTTAATTGGTGGTTATGAATAGTGCTGTTATTTTCCCGAATACCTGAGGATTTCTAAATTGAATCGATATTGTAGTTGTCATTTCCAAGGTCACTGATTTTTTTCTTCTAAGCAATGATTAGAGAGATATCAAATTAGCCTGATATTGTTGAATTCTACTATTTAAGTTTAATAATACAAATAGTATGAATAGGTAGTATATATGCAATATTTACCTAAAAATCTATTTACATTCATTCAGTTTATTTGGGAATGGCCCAAATGGTCATTCAGATTTTCATTCTTCCAATAATATCCATTTGGACACAAGATGTTGTCATATCACCTGGTACTGCAAAAAACATACGTAGATTTTAACAACATTACGTCCGTGAAAATCCCATGTGTTATCAAAGGGGAAATTTCAACTCCGAAACTCTCCCTGGCTGTGTCAATCCTCGTGGATAGGCTTTTTTAGATCATCAATTTCAGACTCATATCGCAATCGTTTTAAAATATGAACACCTCAACAACACTGCTCCAGTCAAATTTTATAACAGTGGTTTTCAAGCTTATTAATCCCCCCCAAGTCAAGCGCCCTACCTCAAAAATATCTAGCTAACAATAAGCTACAAATAACAGATAGTTTCATCCAAAAAAAAAGAAATGTAAATATTCAAAATAAGATCAAATCTAAACAATTTTTATTTTTGATTAGCTCCATGCCCCCTTAAAAAATTGTTTTCGCAATCCCCCCCAAGTGTAGGGGCACCCACACCGTTAAAGAACTACTGTTTATGAACTGATAATTTTCAATCAAAATTTTTCAGGGTATCTGCGAGGCACGTTCCCTCAATGACATATCCAAAGTTGTATCCGATAGAAGCTGCAGTGTGGAGGATTGTAATTATATATTTACTATTAAAGACTACGTTTCATGTATCGATGAGGATTGCACAACGTTTGGTGTAATAGCTGAAGGACCAACTGTTTTTAATCCAATACTTTATGTTGCAACAACAGTTGTCAATTATAAAAGCAGCTACAGGTATGAAGAACTTCATGTAGGACTAATTTTATTCTATTGGGCATTCCCAGGGGCTTGGTTTTCTGGGTCGGAAACTCCCCTTCCTTTTAAAATGTTAAAAAACAAAAACATATTTCTGTATCATACTTATCAATTTCTTGAAGCTTGCAAAGCTTTTTATAGACTCAAGATTCCTGACAACGACATTTTAGGAACTGACATGTCATCTTTGACGGCATCTAGAATTGTAGTTGACAATGAAAAGTTTTACAACACCCCATAACATGACATAAGATATCATTTTTAATCTATGTGAATTGGCTGTGATTTAGTTAAGTCTTCACTGTAATAAATATATTCTTTTGGTTGCATTTGTTGACTTTTCATTATTAAACATGACACATAAAATAATTGAAGGAATCACTTTTAAAGCTAAACTAAATATTTATAGAAGACGGCTAAATACTCTTATCCCCCATGGATTGAATACCGGTAATTCACGCAACTGAAATATCATTATCAACTGAAAAATTGTCTGTTTTAATGAGTGACGTGACCATGATGACTGTTTCAGAAACCGTTTTATGGTTATTTTTTAATTTGGGATTTTGAAACTTCTCTTAAAATTTTAGTGGTGCCCCTGGTAACATGAATTATAAGAGTTGGAGAACCATTTTTGCCAATAAACAAAATTGCTTGTCCATAAAATTCTTTATCAATATTACAGAATAGAAGAAGTCGGTGCCATTTCTAAAAGGAGTTTACACGTTGATCCAGATCGTGAAAACAAGCTATTCTTGTGGGCAGTCCACGATAAAAAATCATACGCTGCAATTCAGGAAAAAAATTTCAAGAAATATTTCAAATATGGATTTCAAACTGATGGAGAAGATGGATTTGTTTATTTCTTGTTTCAGAAGATTGAAGGACAAATAAAGGTGAGAAATACTTTTGACTTTCAGAGAGAGACTATGTTATAGTATACTCACATTTTAAAAAATATTGAATCCTATCAATATTGTGTTTAAATAAAAATAAAATGCTTTTTATACTGTAGAGATTTAGGGTTGAACATTCGTGCCAGTAATGGTAATTTTGTAAAAATTATGATCTTGAATTCTTAACCTTGATCTTCTTCTTTTATACCCTTACATGGTAACAACCACATGTTACAATCGAATGTTTGAACACAGTCAAAATAGTTTCTGGTATATTCAATGCGATAAATTCATAATTTTAGGAAAAATAGGAATATTTTATTATAAAATGTGTAATTTTGATCTACTTCATTCAATTTTGATTCAAAATAAAAAAAATTAAAACCATTACAAATATACCTTCATTTCTCTGTACCGCAATATCACATCCTTGTCAGTATAATTCTGTGTTTGAAACTCTTTTATCATAATGAATTTGGAATAGTAAATAAGTCTTCTTGACCTTTTTACAACAATTACATTGGTAGTCTGTTAATTATTAATCACTTTTGGTCAATTTCCATCAAGTATGCTTGTGATTAGTTATCTCACATTGTTCAGTGTTTGCATTCAACTCTTCCATTAGTAAATTTTTCAGCTTTTTATTACTTGGCTTGAGACCTCGCATTCCAGAAACTTTGAAAATTGCTAAACCCTTTTACTTGATTGATCCAAGTATGTTGCTTCTGAGAATGTTTTTTTTAGAATAGTCATCTTTATCTTTGCTTTAGCATCCTTCCATTATTATAGTGTGTCCATGAAGTCCAAAAAATTTTAAAGTTTGCTAAATGAATTTATCGATACCATATATTGTTTTGGCCCTCACAGATGTATTGAATGAAGTAAAAATACTTGAATTGAATTTGAATTGTAAAGAAACTTTATTGACACGCTGTATGTTTACAAATTCACAGTCCAGAAGCAAAGAGAAAGGACTTGTAGTTTTTAGTCTTAATATAATGATAACCCCAACTGATAGCAGATTTATGTGTTAAAATTTAACTTTCATTTTTATTTTATTTTTGTGTTTTCTCAGAAAACAATAATCTCCAGAGTCTGCAAAAAAGATATTTATTTTTACTCGTATATTGAAATGTCATTAAAATGCGAGATGGGACTATCAGCTTGTCGACACAACGATGAACTGGTTGGTGCATTTTATCAGAAGAAAGCAGGAACAACTGATTTTGCTGTGAATGGGTTGGAAGACGGGGTTTTGCATGTGATGTATAAAAATGGTGAGCTCAATATAACTTGTAACTACCGGTATTAAATTAGGGATCCCGGAAGTGAGATGAATTTTATAGAAATTAACTCATTGGTAAATCAGGTAGGATAACATGCTCAATTAACCTTCCAAGTTCTAAATTTTAAATTAGGATATAGAGTTATACACTGACAAGCATTTGTTGTGAGACTGAAATTCTTCAGTTTTGTAACTTTTTTTGGTGCTCCCGAAGTATGCGAACCAAGATGGCGGACATCGGAACGTAACATGGGTAACAGGTTAGGGTTAGGCGATAATTTTTTTCCAATTTTCTTTATTTTAGTCCTATTATCAGTTCGAAGACTAGCCAAGAGCCTCCCGTAGTATTTATACCTAAAATTATGGCCTAACCCTAACCTAGTACACATATTACATTCCGATGTCCGCCATCTTGGTTCGCATACTTCGGGAGCCCCCTTTTTTTTAAGTTTTAAACTCGACTTTTATGCGAGGATATACAGGTAGGTAGGCTTGCACGTAATTGACAAAAATCAATTCCGTAATTACGGCCAAATCGATTACGTAATGACCCCGTAATTGCGATATTTTTTCACACATTTGAACCTATCATAACAACCAATTGAATCCACTTCATTTTCGATGGGACATGGAGTTTGGGTTCCCATAATCCTGGCAGTACTACATGCCGGCGACAGATGTTAAGACAAGAGTGAATTCAAATTAATTTTCTTCTGATTTTTATCTTTTGTGCTAGCTTTGATTTCCTTTATCACCTTCGCAAATTAACCGTCCTAATTTTATGCGATCAATTTTATCATTACTGACACTGGTATACGGATATTTATGAAACGATAGTTGACTTTTTTAAAATCGTATTAAAAAAAAAATGTCGGGTTTCCAATTTATCAATGCCACGACGAGCGCATTCTCTCGTTTGATTATACTTGCGCTTGCCTCGCGACGAAGACTTGTTATTGCACCGTTTTTAACATTATTCGACTTTATAACCTAGTCAGCATTTTATAATAAAAATTGATGCCGACTTATTGACGTTATTCCGATTACCATGCTTCATTTAACATTAAATCATTTCGCGGCCTAAATGTTGTAACATTATTTGCGACAAATTTGGATCAAATTTGGATATTAATTATTTGCGCATAATTTAAATACCCTACTTATATGACATGGCTTTCCGAAAATACAAAGTTATATCGCAAAAAAATGCATATTGTGACATTTATTTTGCACTCACAAAAAAATTGACTTATTTTTCTAACTCAAGTCGACGATCCTATCCAACAAGATTGACACAAATTTGGTCGAATGTCGGTGGTATTCGAGTCCACGATAAATCAAAATAAGTTGCCGCATTTGGTAAAGACAGTTAATCATATTTGGCTGAAATATTGCGAGGCATTGTGGAAAATATATTGAGCAAGGACAAGTCCGGACTGATATAAAACGATAAAACCGATAACAGAACATCAAGGTTTTGTAATTGAAAATGATTCTCGCACAGAATAAACACACTGGCTCATACTTGATATTTGATAGTAGTTAAATTGAGAATATTGAACTGTTAAAAACAAAAAAACGATCGTCGAAATACTTAAATCTCGTTGCCTTGGTTAAATATAATCCAATGATCAGGACATTTTTAATTAAATACTGCACAAAGATAGTTATACATTAAACATTTAGGCTACAATTTAGCTTTTTTTTAAATTTTAATCATGCATTGTGGTGGAGAAATCCCACTATTTCAATACGGGTAACTATAAAAATAGAATAGGATTCTGGATTCGATTTAAGTATTCTAAAACAGCAGTTCCCAACCGCCGGTCCGCAAATGATTGTTACCGGATCGCGGGAAATCCCGTCATATTGTTTCTCTGCCGTCTCAATCATTTACCGATGCCGAAAAGACGAAGTTGCGTTGGTTCATTACGCAATTTCTCTTCCGTCGTCATATTGCTGTTTGATAAGCGCGACATTAATTATCACGGTGACGTATTGGCAAGAGAGAGAAAAGTGAGAAAAACGGCTGCAAATACCGAAGCTCTAACTTCTTCTACTTTTTAAACTTTCACTTTTTACAATCTATGGAATTGACTGCTTTGAAGAGAGCTCGTTTCAATCGCGAAAGTGCTCGACCAATAATTACGACTTTACGTAATTCGTAACCTCCCTTCCGTAACTCGAAATAATTCCGTAATTCCGTAAATCTGTAAATTACGTGCAAGCCTACAGGTAGGTATTTGAGATTCCAAAATTGTTGTATGGTGGTAAAGAAGCGAGAACCAAGTGTTGATATTGTAATATTTGTACTATTTCGTTTTGTCTATTTCTGGCAACACTGCCTGTTAACTTCTTTCATTGTTATTGTTTTACGCTTCATTGATTTTGTATCTGCTGCTTCTTGCTTCGGAGGATTGCAGCATGGGTGCTGTGCAAGCTAATATATATCTATTCTGATCGTGTAATATAAGGTTGTATTATATGATAATAGTCGAATTAACATTGGTAGCAGAGGAAAATGACTGCAAAACAACTTCAACCACCAAAGTTTGGTGAAGATTTGACCTACATGGAGTGGGTAAATAAACTGGACATGTGGAAAGCGGTGACTGAGATACCGGTGAAAAAACAAGGAATTTTGGTGCGACTTTTGTCTTTAGATGGCAATTCTAAAGCTGAAAAGGCTGTTTCTGATCTAACTGCGGATGAACTGAATGTGGATGATGGTCTAAGCCTACTTATTGAAAAATTGGATGTTGCTTTCAAATCAGAGAAGACTGATTTAGCCTATGATGCATATACTGCATTTAATTCCTACACTAGGCCAGCCGGTCTAGCAATGGCTGATTATATATTAGAATTTGAGCATTTGAATTCTAATTTGGTAAAGTTTGATATGAAATTGCCTGATGCAGTTTTGGCATTCCGAATTATGGATGGTGCACTATTAACTGAAGAACAAAAACAGCTTGTATTGACAGTTGGCAGTGATTTAAAATATGAGTCAATGAAATCTGGATTAAAAAGAATTTTTTCAAAACATAATTGTACCGGTAGCATCGGAGGAAGTTTGTTGTCTTTATCACAAACAAATGATGCATTTGTGTCACAAGGTGCAGCTTCAACTGAACTACCGATACCGGTAACTTCAAGAAGAAGATATACTGGGAATACCGGTAACAAGTTTACCAGGAAATCTGATTATGAGGTGAAAAGTAAAAAGGATTTTGATAAAAACATGAATCCAATTGACAGAAATGGCAATATATCAAGATGTTCCATCTGCGACTCAAAAATGCACTGGGCTCGCAAATGCCCTCATCAAAATCGGGAAGTTTTCTGTGCTGATGACTCGGATGATGAAGAATGTGAAAATGTGCAAATGGCATTAATGACCAATGAAAACTCTCAAGAAATCTTCATTTCAGAAAATGCTGAATATGCTATAGTTGATACCGCATGCACAAAAACTGTGGCAGGAAAAACCTGGTTTGAGAAATACATTGAACTTTTGGAGCCTGAGATGCGCGAAAACATCAAGATATTTCCCAGTAGTCGAACCTTTAAATTTGGAGATGGCCGCACTGTTAATGCTATTAAAAGAGTAGTAATTCCCATTCAAATTGGCCGTAAAATTCTGGAATTGGAAGTGGAAATCATAGACACCCATCTTCCATTGCTGATGAGTAAAAGATCTCTGAAGAGAGCAGAAACTCACCTGAATATGAAGAATGATACGGCTATGATGTTGGGACAGGAAATTGCACTCCATTTATCCAATAATGGCCACTACACAGTCAAAATACTGCCTAGGAAAAGGCGTTCAAAAGGTCACAAAACTGAAATTTTATTATCAGAAAACGGGTCAAAAAGTTACAGCAAAAATGATATATTGAAAATTCACAAACAATTTGGGCATGCATCGAAAGAAAATATGAAAAGATTGATAACTAATACTGGAAAATATCGTCCTGAATATAGTCAGATTATAGATGAAACAGTTGATAGATGTGAAATATGCACCAAATATAAAAGGCCTTGTCCACGTCCTGTGGTTGGCTTATCTTGGGCTACGGATTTCAATCAGACTGTAGCATTGGATCTCCATCAGTTAGAACAAAATGTGTGGTACCTCCATATTGTAGACGAATTTACTCGTTACAGCAGCGCTGTTGTCATTCATAATAAAAAGACTTCCACGATTGTTGAAAAATTCATGCAACACTGGATTAGCATATTCGGAGCACCAAACAGAGTACTTTCAGATAATGGTGGAGAATTTGATTCTGCTGAATTTCATGATATGTGTGAGAATTTTGGCATCAAAATTTCTACTACTCCGGCATATTCTCCATGGAGCAATGGACTGTGCGAGGGTCATAACAGAATTCTTTCTGAAATTCTTCTCAAGGTGAGAGATGAAAATAATTGTAATTGGGAAACAGCTCTGGCTTGGGCACTTAGTGCTAAAAATAGTCTTATCAATACTAAAGGATTTAGCCCTAATCAACTTGTTTTCGGTAGAAGCATCAGACTACCATCTGTTATTCATGAAAATCTTCCAGCACTAGAAGGAACAAGTACAAGCATGTATGTGGCAAAAAACATATTGGCTCTTCATATTGCTCGGAAAGCATTTATTGAGTCGGAATCATCTGAAAAGATTCGAAGGGCACTACGAAAACAAACGAGAGAGACGGTTGATGCCTTCACAAAGGGAGAGTATGTGTATTATAAAAGAGATGAACAACAGAAATGGAAAGGACCTGGACGTGTAATTGGTCAAGATGGGCCTTTAATCTTTATTCGGCATGGAGGCCAATGTGTGAAAGTGCATTCTTGCAGAGTCCAACATGTGGCGGAACCTACCGAGATGACTATTTTGCCTGATAATTCCAATGACAAAAATAAGGCTCCAATATCACAAACTGCTCAAGTAGATGTTAGTGACGTCAGTGGAGATGATTCAAATACGAATGTTACAAACAGGGACGATGACAGTGATATTTCATGTCACTTAGCAAGAGGTAAAATTGTCACATATTCGCATGATGGTATGGATTATGAAGTGGAAATTATAAATCGAGCTGGAAAAGCAACTGGAAAATATAAAAATTCTTTCAATGTGAAATATCGATCACCAGAAAGCATTAAGGGAAATACTGGATATGTTGATTTTGAGCAGGTCGAAAACCTACAAGAAGAACTCCAAGCACCTACAGAAAATGTTCTGGTTACAAAAGATGTTAACTTTGACGACGCAAAATTATCAGAGTTAAAAAGTTGGAAAGAAAATAATGTTTATGAAGAGGTTGACAACACTGGACAAATAACTATTTCAGTACGATGGGTCTGTTCTCTAAAATCTACAGAAGATGGTGTTGTGCCTAAAGCACGACTTGTGGCAAGAGGCTTTGAGGAAAACAATGACAGTGTCTTAAAAGAATCGCCAACATGTTCTAAAGATTCCCTCCGCTTGCTGTTGGCAATTGTCGCTCAGAAAAAATGGAAATTGAATACCATTGACATAAAGACTGCCTTTCTGCAAGGCGAAAATTTGGATCGTGAAATATTCCTGGTTCCCCCTAAAGAAGCTGGCTCCAACAAACTCTGGAAACTAAATAAGTGTGTTTATGGACTGGCTGATGCATCTTTGAAATGGTATAAAAAGCTCAAAGATTTTATATTGAATAATGGGGCAAAAATGTCATGCGGAGATTCTGCTTTATTTCACCTAAACAGTGATAACAACTTGCATGGAATTATGGGAATTCACGTTGATGATATCATTTGGGCTGGAACACAGAATTTTGAAAATACATTTATAACAAGCTTGCGTTCCACTTTTCAGATTAGTCGTGAGAAAAACGAGGCTTTTAAATATCTTGGTCTTAATATTCAACAAAATAAAACAGCAATAACAGTAGATCAAGAAACATATATTGAGAGTCTTAAAAATTTTACATCAAGTTCAAATGAAAATGAGTTGAATGAAAAAGACAGGGATGCATTGAGAGCTATAGTTGGTCAATTGCTTTGGACATCGAATCAAACCCGGCCAGATGTGAGTTATGATGTCTGCCAACTTGCCACAAATCTAAAAGAAGGCAAACAGAAAGATGTTCATCATGCCAATAAAATAATTAGAAAACTGAAAGCTCGAGAAATGAAGCTGAAGTATCAATATCTGGGAAAAGACCAATCACTCAGGATTGTGGTATTTGCAGATGCTGCATATGGGAATTTAATTGATGGAGGTAGTCAAGGTGGACACCTAGTATTTCTAGTTGGAGATGATGACAAATGCTCATTGCTAACATGGCAATCGAAACGGATTCGTAGAGTGGCCAAAAGCACTTTGGCAGCTGAAACACTTTCACTATCTGACGCCGTGGATAATGCTGTATTTGTTAAGAGCATGCTGTCAGAAATTTATTTTGCAAACTCATTCAATATACCAATTTATGTAATGACAGATAATTGCTCACTTCGAGATGCATTATACTCCAGTAAAAATGTTTCCAACAAAAGACTTCGAATTGAAATTGGAATGCTCAAAGAAATGATTATGAAGAAGGAAATTTGTGGCGTAGAATGGTTGCAGTCAAAATACCAGTTAGCTGATGTGCTCACAAAGCATGGGGCTTCTTCAGAAAGATTAGTCTCTATAATTTGTGATGGACTACTTTACCTCTGTTAAACTAAAAGTTAAAACAGAGTGAATATGTTGATATTGTAATATTTGTACTATTTCGTTTTGTCTATTTCTGGCAACACTGCCTGTTAACTTCTTTCATTGTTATTGTTTTACGCTTCATTGATTTTGTATCTGCTGCTTCTTGCTTCGGAGGATTGCAGCATGGGTGCTGTGCAAGCTAATATATATCTATTCTGATCGTGTAATATAAGGTTGTATTATATGATAATAGTCGAATTAACACCAAGTCCCATTTTCATATACTTATTAAGTATTCAAAATCTTCGTATTGGGATTCTTGAAGTGTCTATCCCTAGGTAAATCAAATGATTTATTTTCCCATTATTAGAAATATTGAAATTGTGCAATATCGAAACGAGAATATTGGTCGGAGACCGAAGACTTATCGATCGAAAGTTTCGAATCATGACCTTATAGTGACACCATGTGTCCCATCACTAATTAATTGATAACTCGCTAATTAAACGACATAATTCATTCAAAATCAATTGGCTTCTGGTCCGAGATATGATGAATGCACATGCAAATTTGGAGCAGATTCAACCTTGCCTTCTTGAGATATCGCGTTCATCTAACAGACAAACAGACATACAGACAGACAAATACCTATCAACATACTTACCGTTCTTAAGATCGATAAGTAATAATGCTTTTTAGACTTTTATATCATAAAATTTGAATTACATTTTGAGTTGAAGAAGTATAGTCAAGTCAAAATTCTCATCATTGGCTACCTCATGTTAACTCAGTATAAATGTATGAACGGTGAAGGCCCACAGACATAACCAAAGTAAGATACACCAACTGGAATCAGCCCTCAAGTCCAGAAAGCACATGGCTACTTCACCTTCACAGCTGATCAGTCATCTGTGACTAATGACATCACAGGTCGTGTTCAGCCACCTGGGAAAACGCTGGTTGCAAGAAATACAATAAAGATACTGGTAACACTCCAGGAGTACACATCGCACGGCGGTGTGGCTCATCGTGCTAAGCGTTAGAAATACGCTCGCCACGGCACCTCTGATTACTCTGGCGTGGGTTTGCGGGTTCAGATTCCATGCGGGGATAGTTATGTGCGAGAGGATTGCTGGACTCCTCGCTGTCGTAGGGTGGTTCACGTAACCGCTGGTCGGTTACGGCTTCCTCCAACATGAGGTCCATGCTTCGAAAACAAATAACTAACTAATTCTATACCCGACATGGAATGGTAACCGGACGATAGGCCGTGGTTTTCCATATGGATAAACCGTCTTATCGACTTTCCTCTTTCCGGGATTTATATGTAAATCCTATCCTAAACTAAATTATAACTCAATTTCTTTGAAACATGTTTCAGGGACCAGATCTTCTCTCTGTATGTACACATTGAAAGATTTGAATGCAGCATTTGATGAGACGATCATTGCTTGCTATAAATATAAGGGAAACAGAACGGAGTCGGGTGGTCCAGAGATTGCTACTTCAACAAAGCAGGAATGCAGTGCCAATGTAAGTCTTATTTCTTCATTATATGTATGTTTTTCCCGAGCATCAGTTTCCTTGTTTATTTCCCTAACAATGACCAATCAGCGAATTTTAAATCTGATGACCACAGTTGTCCCAAAAGTTGATTTTGTCTTATCTTCCCAAATTCATAAAATGATTAAGTCTATTAAAATTAATGTGCAATAAATACTGGATATATCAGACATTCAGTGCTGCTTTGGTCATTTATGTGCTTCAAAACAAGTTTATCACATTTGTTAGGTCAACATATATTATGAATCTTCACCTTGTTGAAGACAAAGTGGACCTATGTATTGTTTTGTTAGTATTACACTTCTTGTTGTTGTCTTGTTAAAATCACTTATATCATTAACTGCTGGAGTATTTGCTCTGAAATTTTCAGTGGTAGATAATTGCTATTGTCGCTGAAAGGCTAATAATTTTTTCATTTCAAAAATTTCTGTGTGCTTTATTGGGTTTGTTTTTCATTTTGGACTTTTGTATCACAGCGATATTCATTCGATCGCGCGATAGAATGTTTCTGATCATGTGATCAATTTGTAAACCTTGTTTAGCGGATGGTCGCCCAGACTTGGTTTACATATTTTACTTTTTTTTTTTTTGATAGATTGTAGTTTAAATATTCCGTTTTTAATGGTAAAATATTTTCATTCATATTTTTTAGTATTGGATGAGCGAAGATCAAACTTTGGATAACCTAATTTTTAGGACGGATTCTGCTCCAAAACTTGAATATTATCCCGACTTTTCATTTGAAAAAGGAAAGGTGGGTGACGTTTTGTTTCGTTTTGTGAATTTGATTTAAATACATTTTGTCAAGCTGAGTATTCTATTTTTGAATTATCAATTTTATTCTGTTTCATAATTTATATAAAAAAAATATTTTTCAAAACAGTGGTTTTCAACCGCTACTTTAAAATTTCATAATAAATTATCCTGATCAAAATTCATGATATTTCAGTTTCGTTGCGGAGCAACTTATCTTCCATCACAAATCACACGAATACCAGAAGTAACAGGAATCTGGTCTTATCATCATCAAGGAGTGAACTTTTCTGCTCTGACTGTAGATTTAACAGATGGTGGAATAAATGTTGCTTTCATCGGGACTCAAGGCGGAGAAATTATAGAGGTATGTTTGGAAGGGCTAGTTGAATATCTTTCGTTCATTCCATGTGTTCAAGGTAGGTCTCCTCAAACTGGGGTTTGCAACCCAACAAGGGGGCATTAATTTTAGAGGCCAATTTTACACATAGTACTATATTATATCTATTGTACTTTATTAACTTTTGATTCATATTATTGAAACTAGTGCAAAGCATAAATTGCATGATTTCGAGAGAATACATAGGATCAGAGAAGCTATGCGCTTGCATATTTCAAACTGTTTATCATTCCAAATGTGAACAAGGGTAGCGGAAAATTGTAATATATTGGAAGAGGTCGCAGGCCTAAAAGTTTAGGAAGTCCTGGGATACTCCTGAAGTATGCGCACCAAGATGTCGCACAACCTGAACCCTAACCTGGTACACAACCTGAGTTCAGCTTGTGCGCCATCTTGGTGCGCATACTTCAGGAGGTCCAGTCTTGGTTTAGACCAATGTTTCCTAACTGGGGGATGAATTTTTCACCAGAGAAGAATTTTGCCATTTTTGGGGAGGTATTTTGCTTTGTATCCGCTGTGGTATTGCTAATATTTTTTATAATGTAGTACCATTCTTACTCTTTATTTCAGATGTCGAAATATTTAGTTTAAATATTTATTTCATAGTATTTTAAGTTTTCATCTTTTAACAGCTGGATATAAATCACAAGAATAATTACAACACAATAAACGTCGGGCAACCTGTTCTATCGGATCTTATTCTCGATGATGATTCATCATTACCAATACCGCACCTATATGTGATGACAAATTTTTCGGTATGTTGTATTTTTATTTGTATAGAATTGAGATGAATAATATGTAGGCCTATCTGCTTTGAAAGCAGAGGAGGCAAAAAAATGACTCGATTATATGGAGTACTATTGGATTGCCAAAGATTACTATTGGGTCTGATATGGGAGTAGTTAATCATTTTTTAATCTAGATTTGTGGTTTTGGATTGTGGAGGAAGCTGTAACATATCAACAGTTACCTTCACTAGAATAATTTTTTAGATCATTAAATATGAGGGCCGAGATTGGAGTTTGACCCCTGACCCTGAGTTGAAAACATTATAAACTCTGAATACCCCTATACCCAATGTCGATAACGAAATCTTTGGGATATGCATACCTTTTTTGATTTGATAAAAGTATTCTGGAATATTTTGGACTAGTAATTTATTCTGAATTTATTTCTGTCTCTATATCTAACTGTTTACTATCCCTTGTATTGACCATCATTCATTCTAGATCAGTGCTCTTCAACAGGGGTTTCGCGGAACCTTAGGGTTACGCAATACATGCAGTGGGGTTCCGTCAGTTTATAGGGTTCCTTAGGTATTCCGCTTTTTTTAAATGGGAATCATTTCTTGCTTCAGCATGTTGATGCGTCGTTGCGAAGTTGTTTAAAGATTATAGACATGAGTATGAGAATTCAAGAAGATTGCAAAAGAAATGCAAGAACAACCTAGTCATTGAATTTCACGCTTGTTACCTTCTTTCTGTTTCACTGTTGAAGTAGAAATATTTGAATTACAAATATTTCGTGTTACGAGTATTTTGTGTTGTATTTTAATTTTGTTAATTGCGGTTTCCGTAAAAATCGAAAAATTATATCAGGGGTTCCACGAAAAGCTTGAAGAGCACTGTTCTAGATCAAGAGTGTGCAACACCCGGCCCGCAAAGCAATTTAGTGTGGCCCTTCTCAACACTCAGATTTTTCCCCATCTAGCACAGAATCCCAACCTTGAGATAGGAAAACCTTCTTTAATATATTTCCAAGAATGTTTAGCGAGTTTATTACTTTTTGAGTTTGTGTACATGCTTTGACTCCTTACTCTGGTAATCCAGATTTTCCAGACTCAACTCAGGGGAACTTGAAAATACAATTCCAGTAAAAATTCGCTAAACTCTGAATACGACCCTCGTCATTGAAGGTACATCACATCTATTACATTGTTCTACTTCACAGGTATCACACATGAGAGTTTCAGTTTGTGAGCGGCATACAACATGCTCACAATGCCTGGCTGCTAAAGATCCATATTGTGGATGGTGCATACTTCAGAGCAAGTAAGAGCTTATGAAATGCTTTCTGGTTGGGAAGGTTAAAAAATATTGTGATCATTAAAGTGTAAAAATCAAATTATTTTTGCTATCGCTAATGGTTTAATTTCTGTGGGCCCAACTACTTATCATTCTTCTATGCTTTGTGCTTGTGGGTCCGTATTCAAATAATGCGAGGATGCTGTAACAAGATTGAAGATAACTATCCTAAGTGATTCAAGAGTAACACATAAATATTTCTGTAACGTTTTGTCTTTTGGATTTTCTGTGGAACGATATGCTATTACTTTGATGCGAGTGTGTGTGCACACTTCGTGTAATGATGCTATAGCAAGAGAGATGACCACTATTCTTAATGATTCTCTCAATAAGATGAGACTCTCTCTACATGTATACATGTTATTTTCTCTTTTCCATGCTTTTTTACTTTTGAATTATTAAAGGAGAAACTTGTAATATTTTAATAACATTGGACTGAAATTATAAAAACGATATACAGAATTGGATTCAAAATCTGTTTCATTCATTTCAATGTTCTGTTACCGGTCTGCGAAGTCATTTTATTGGATTTTACTGGTCCACCGGGGTAGACAGGTTGTCCCATAAGAATCGGAGGGGGAGTATTCTAAAATAGCAGTTTATTCATCTCTAGGAGTAGCTCGTTTACTATTTCAAGTTTTTTTTTTTCTAGATGCATGCCAAAGTCATACAATTGTCAGGACAGTTGGTTGAAGCCTTTTTCTGAGGAATGCATCGAGGCTTCTGTGCCCGAACCATTGGAAAGAACTCTGCAAGGAAATGTTGAGACCAAGGTATGTTGTGTTAAATTTTGTTACTTTCTGAGAAAAGTTTAAAAAGGAATTGAACATTTGGGACAGTTAAACACAACTAAAGTCAAAATACTAATTGTAAAAAGAGAACTAAAGCATGCTTAACATAAACAGAATAAAAAATGATTCTGAACTCAAGACCAGGGATGACTAATAATTAACACTCACTTACCTACCTGCTTATTGAAACTTATTCTGATAATGGGAAAGGTACTTCTGTAGTATGTGTACCAGGCTAGGGTTAGGCCAATATGTTATACCGGCTTTCCTTATTTTAGTTATATTACGAGTTCCGTACTGTCTGTGTTAGCCAAGTGAAAATACCCCCTGTCCATAGGTTTCAGTCCCTTTACACAATTTGAATGTCAAGTAGGCGAACAAAATCAGTTACCTCCATATTGGTACACATACTTCTTGGATTTTGTTAGTTTCTGAAAAATGTTGAAGAATTGAAATGAACATTTGGGACGATTAGACACACCCAAATTATCACAAGTCACAACGTCGAATTAATAGACTACCTAAACCTTACACTTCATCAAAAGTATTTTAGCTTTTTCAATGAAATATAGATAGACACTCTATGTATTCTTGGTAAAACCTCCCATCGTATATATGTTTTGTTTGTTTCGAACCTTGTCTAGGAATTTGTTTACTCTCCTGATTTCATAATCAGTTTATATTTGTTTTTATCAATCATTTTATTGTTATGCTGATTATGGAGTCGAAATAAACTTATACTTATGATACTTTTACGTGTCTATTGTTTCCAAAGAGTGAATTTGTGTAAAATAAAGAAATTTAAAACTAAGTTCCAATTAGAAATAATGTCATATCTCATATGCTGTTGTATATTCATCAACCATACTCAAATTTCCACATTCTTTCGAGTTTGCCAAGGAGTTGTGTTTCTTGGTTAAAAAACAACTGTTCAACATATGGTACTGCAGATCTTTTTGATGCATTTATTCCCGAGAGGTTGAGACATGCATTTGTGTATTCTCTAGAGAAGAATGTTATTCTGTGCTTCTCAGAGGCATTTTTTAAAATTTGAAAATAATAAGTTCATTTTGATTGTGTGTTTCGAATTTTTCTATATCACTCGGAGGAGAGAGTCACTTCAATAGGTATATACCAGGGGTTCTCAATATTTTTCCTGTTAGGTGCCCCCCTAAGACCCCCCCTTACATGAATAAAAACAATAAAATATCACAAAACAATCCTGAACCTGAACCCTAATAAGTCGACACCGAACTAATGTGGTATGATATCTTACACTTAACCGGGTAGCAATTTTTAATATAATTACAAAGGAGCCCTTTCCAATAAAAGCAGTTATTCTCTGCTATTTGTGTGATATAAAAGTTGGACTACATACAGCCTTTACAAAAGTCAGACATGGGCAAAGTACGGCCCGCGTGCCAAATGCGGCCCGCTAGATGATTAAATCTGGCCCGCCTGATGCTGCCACAACCAAACTGAAACCAAATTTTGATATTTTAGTTAAAAATAGCTCAAAGAATTTCTTGACATTGCGATTAAATTTAGTTTTGGCACAAGGTTTATTGTTTTCCAGTTGTTTCTGTAACACTGTTCATAAAATGTACTTTTTACGTCATACTCACATGGCCCGTCAGTCCAGGTGGGCAAAGTTTCTGGCCCCTGATCTAAAAACCGTGCCCATCCCTGATATAGATAGTGATATTATGTTGATTTATTTTTTCACTCCAGACTTAACAATATTCCATGCTAATTCTTTCAGGTGTCTCTTCTGCCTGCAAGTCCTCAGGGAAGTCCAAACAAATACCAATGTGTATTCAACAATGATTATTCTTCTCCTGTGATTGTTTACGCAATAGATCACGAGAGAATACATTGCAAAGCGCCGCCTAGTGATAGATTACCTGCGAATATTCTTGGAGAAGGTGGGTTATGTTGTTTTTCCCCAACAATTTTTTTAAAGCTCTCCGCAGGGTTTGTGGATCAATCATTGGATAATATATTAAGGTCTGTCATGAATTATTGTGAACTGAATTTATCTTTTTCATATTATTATTTTTTTGACTATGATTAGATATCAGTTTAATAAAGAGCAACTATTTCTATGTAATATTACGAAACAAAATTGTTTCCAAGCATTTGTCCTCGTGTCTTGAAATCATCATGTCATCCAAGTTTTATTTTGTCAGATTATGTGAATGTTACTGTCAGTATCCGATACAATGGAACTACAGATATTGTTTCAACAGTGGCGACGTTCTATGACTGCAATGCTCATGGCAGGTATGTTGACTATTTTATTTACACACGGTTTATTCGGGCCTTTTGCTCTGAATAAAGCCCTGCACAAGAAAACACAGATTTTTAATGATATGCAAGGTGTCGTATTTGCTCATCATTTTTCAGAATTTATGAAAACAAAATGATCATTAAATCACTTGATTTACACATGAATTGTAAATCAAGTGATTCAATGATCATTTTGTCTTTCGCTGAATATTAGTACAGTTGGGGTAATCTAAAATTAGTTTTGAAAAGCTGCTAGGCTTACCCTAGTCTGAAATTTGTTATCCTTATTTTCAAATATCATGTTATTGAATATTTTAAACTAAAATGGGTCTTGTTCAGACTTTTAGACAAAAACATATGAAACATTTCATAAAGGTTGTAAACTTCTTTATATAACAGATATTCAGACATAATGTTATTGGTGTACTGCAGTCGCTATAAGCTAAGGCAGTGGTTCCCAAACTATTTAGTTAAATTCCTCCCTTTGGCAATTTTGTAACTTTTATTTCTCCCTCACTATACATGAAAAGTACTTCATTTATTCAAATTTTAATGGATTGTTAGCTATTGTCATGCGGAGGTAGCCTTCTCACTTTTCCATGTGTTAAGTAATTTATTATGTGTGCATATATTATTATGGTAATAACAAAGAACTAAAGAATATTAATAAGAATAACATAATCTATTTCCACGAAATAGAAAGTATATTTGTAAGTTAGATCGTAGTCTAACTTCTTTAGACAAAACAAGATATGGCTTGATAAACAGCGAATTAAAAATATAAGTAATACTATGGCAAATACGAGGTAAAATTCAAAATTCTCCCCTAAGGCGACAAAAATCATCCCTGAAAACGAGATTTTTTTCGATCAGAGAACATGGGCGCATGATCAAGTGCCGTGTGTTACCTACCCAGGTGTGGTTTGAGGAATTAGAACTTGTGCAAGTTAGGTTTCGTTTGCTAAATTATTTGTATAGAAATAGGGGTATCCAAAGAAATGAAAAATGCAACAGTAGACTTTTCACACTATAGTACTAGCCCAGTGGTTATCAAGCTTTTTTCTCTTGTGGCCCATTTTCGTTGCACAAATATCCTGTGGCCAACTAACATTTTCATGGGTAGGGGAAAAACTTAAAAAAAAAACATAATTCTTTCTGCAAAATAGACAATTTCACTTCAGTAATAATTAGGTGAAAACTACCCCCCTGTAACAAAAAACTGCATCATTCATTGCTACTACCATCAAATTCAACTAACTTTATCAACAACTCTAGCAATTTCTAATAGGTCTGTGGTTCACCTGAAAATGTTCCTGTGGCCGGCCATGGCCCACTGGTTGAGAACCAGTGTAATAGCCTGAGATAGATCGCACGATGTAATACTAGGTTGATATACAGGGCATTCATTATTAAGTCTCTTTACAATTTCAATTTTTAAAAAAAAAGTCATTTCTCAATATTATATCTTAACCAGGTTTGTTGTTTTTTAATCATTACTTATCGATTTTAATCGGTAAGTATGTTGATAGGTATTTGTCTGTTTGTCTGTCTGTTAGATGCACGCGATATCTCACGAAGGCGTGGTTGAATCTGCTCCAAATTTTGCATGTGCATTCATCATATCTCGGACTAGAAGCCTATTTATTTTGGATGAATTATGTTGTATAATTAGCGAGTTATTAATTAATTAGTTATGGGACACGCAGAGTCATGAATCGAAACCGCATTTTCGATCGATAAGTCTTCGGTCTCCGACCGATATTCTCGTTTAATCATTAATTGTATTTTACTTCATTTATTTCATCTGTGAGGGCCAAAACAATATATGGTATCGATAAATTTCCTTTGCAATTTAAAAAAATTCTAAGACTACTTAGGCACCCTATATGTTTCACATCATAGTAGCACCAAGGTATGTCTTTGTATCTCAGATATACCCTATTATCATGCCTGACTGAGTATACTGAACTAACAAACGTACACTAGTTAATTACAGCCGAAGCAAATATCTCTGATATTAAGATAAATGTTGACATTTTATCCCGTTTTCATACTATGCTTTCTGCATGAATGGAATCAGGCAATTTTACAGCTCTTAAAAGTCATTTTATCTTTTTAAATTTGATGGATTGGCCGTGAAATAACTGGTTTATGGCAACCAATGACAAACGGGGTGTGAGTGCTATAAATTTTGTAGGTTCTTGCTGATTTACTGGTTAGCCTAAAGCAGGGGTTCCTAAACTGGGGTACGTATACCCCGGGAGTACATTCCCACTTTTCAGGGGCTACATAAAATTTAATCTAACATATGAACCCGCTCTTGGCCATTGTGCCTAGTTTTGGATCTACTTCCAGATTTCATTCGACCAAAATTTCAGGAATTGGATAATGACGTAACCTGATATTTTTAGTCTTTTTGAGAGAGAAATGAATTTTTTATGGTTGAATAACAGGTTGCATGCGGTCAAATTCTTTAAATAATTGAAAAGCTGTGAGACTGCATGCATGGTGAAACACATAGGGGCAAAGCAATTAGACTCTGTTGGAATTATGTCAAATTACACTTGGTTTGTTCACTAGGAAAGCATGCTCCTAATGTAGGAATGATGAAAGATTTTCTGTTCATTAAATAGAAATATTTGATTGATGGTGTTCCCTTAAATTCACTTTTTTAAAATTTAAAATACTGCATAGTGCACACTGAATTAATTTCAATTATAGCTTGTATGTGCAGTGCAGCAAGGGTGACAATAGAATATTACATAAACCATGTTGCAAATATATAGAAATTAAATTTACCATAGTAATGCAGAATGTTAATAGGGAGTTACCGTAAGTCTCATTGGCAGAAAGTTGATTACAAGTCCTGGTCATTTCATTTATATGAATCATGAACAATATTCCTTTTTTTACAAAATCATGAATGAAGTTGCACTCCCCATGATTTTGCTTTTTAAAATATTATGAGATCACAAAATAAACAGAATTTTTTTCGGGGCACAAAGTGGCCATAATATGTTTTTTTTTTGCTAAATTGTTGTTGTTAGTCTCTTTAATGAGGTTATTTTATTTTTTCAACTCTTTCATACAGAGCAATTGATCAACTGCAGCCATGCCAAGGATGCATAGAGAACCGATGGTCGTACAAATGTCAGTGGTGTATTTCCGATCATGTTTGTGTCCCCACTGGAGGAGCTGCTTCATGCACTCATGATTCTGATGTAAGTTCACGATTTTTTCTATTAGGTCTATTTGAGTAAGGCTTGTGTAAGTAGTTACAGATGTTTAAATAAAAATTCTCATTACTTATCGATCTTTATCGATAAGTATGTTGATAGGTATTTGTCTGTCTGTCTGTATGTTTGTTTGTCTGTTAGATGCACGCGATATCTCACGATCGCGAGGTTGAATCTGCTCCAAATTTTGCATGTGCATTTATCATATCTCTGACCGGAAGCCTATTGATTTTGGATGAATTATGTCGTATAATTAGTGAGTTATTAATTAATTACTGATGGGACACAAGGTGTCACTATGGAGTAAGAGCGCTGTTTTGGGGATCCTCCAACTTTCGATCGATAAGTCTTTGGTCTCTGTCCGATATTCTCGTTTAGGTTTTGATAGTTCAGTTTACATTATGACGAATATTCATAGTTTCACTTTAAATATGACCTAATACATGCAGCGACTTATATTTGATTATAAGTAAAAATTTCTTTTCTGCCATTGCGCATCCAATTTATTACACACTTGATTTAACACACTATGGATTTAAACCATAGATGCGTAAGCTGTGCTGACAACACAGTTAGTTTTAATAACCACTGAGCCATCTCTCTTGATAAATCTAAACTCTTATTCTAACTATTAACAGAAACCTAAAAATGTCTATAAAAAATAATTGCAAATTTTCAATCATATCCAGGAATGTCCACAAGTAACATCAGTGACAAGTGAGTCCCGACTACTCTCTGTTGGACTTCCGACACAAATCACATTGAACGTTCTCAATCTTCCTCAACCAGAAGATACTCAATACAGTTGTGTGGTTGGAATTGAAGGAGCGAAGCCTGTTACTGTACCTGCTTCTGTGTAAGTTCAGAGATATTTACTGGTAATATCGTAGTGTGTGTACCAGGTTAGGGTTAGGCCCGAATTATATTCCTATTTTTCTTATTTTAGTTCTATTACGAGTTCGGGGACTGTCTGTGTTAGCCAAGTGAATATACCCCCCTGACCATAGACTTCAGTCCCTTTACACAACTTGATGTAAAGTAGGCGAACAAAATTTGTTGCCTCCATATTGGTACACACACTTCTGGAGCTCCTATTTACCTACTTCTAAATTAGTGGTTCCCAAACTGCAGCCCGTGGGTTAATTACGATAACGGTATGTTAATTACAGCCCATACAACGATTTAATATGGCTTTAATAGTTCAACTGTTCAACACTTCATGTTTTTACCTTTTTGCTAGATATCGCCAATTATTTGTCATTGTCACGGTTTAATCATGTGCATATTCGACGCAATGCAATTACATCAGTATCTTAATTATACACACCGTTACTGATATCGGCCCCTCGCGGGCAATTTTCTCCCTTGGCCTGCCAATATTTTTTTCTCATTCAATCTCCGCCTGCTGTTTATTCTGCTAGAAAGCATTTTTTTCAACATTTTTTATAAATTTGGACGAAATATTTTCATTTTTCTTGTTTTAGATCAACATCTGGAGATCATGTTATTTGTGACGAAGAAACCTATAAATACTCAGCAGTAAGTTCATAGATACTGTGAAATGTTTTAAAAATCATGTATTACCAGAATATAGGGTGTCCATAAAATCTTGAAATTTCCGGAAATTGCAAAAGGAATTTATCGATAATATATTATTGTTTTAGCCCTCACAGATGTCTTAAATGAAGTGGAAATACTTGAATAATTACTGATTAAAAACAACAAACCTGGTTAAGATATATTGAGAACTGACTTCATAACAAAATTGAAATTGTTAAGGGGCTTTATGGACACTCTGTATAGTCTTGCAGCAATTGTCTGTGAAACATTTTAAAAATTATGTATTACCATTTTCGACACCGAGTTATTCAGCTTTATTTCACAATCTTGATCCCGGGGGTTATCTTAGATATAATCCCTGGACTGAATTTCAAAAATCATGTATTACATGAATATAGCAAATTTAGATAAACTATACCTTTTAAACCTTTGCAGCATATTCTGGATATTAAAGTATTTGACAACTTTACAGAATTATCGACCTGTGCATTGTCATTTTTTTTACTATGGCAGAGTTAAAAATAATTTATCTTCATCTTGCAGAATATACAGGGTGTCCAAAAATTTCTGCCTGATTTTGTAGTGATAACAATTGAAAATTTCTTTGTCTTTGTTTATTAATAGTTTTTATCGTGCTTGTAGACCTGCCTCATTTATCGTACAATAAAACTTATTTTAATTTACAATTGTTATTATTATTATGAAATCTGACGAAATTTTTATTTGTCGTTGCTGTGGCGTCGCAATTTTTTGGACACCCTGTATATAAATATTTTGACGTTTCATTTTTATTCCAGAAATCTTCTGAAGTTCCTGCCAATGTCACTGTGTATTGGAAACCAGATCGTGTGATTGATGCTAAAATATTCAATCCAGTGTCGGTAAGATTCTTTTAGTGTTTTTAATATTACTTATCGATTTTAATCGGTAAGTATGTTGATAGGTATTTGTCTGTTTGTCTGTCTGTTAGATGCACGCGATATCTCACGAAAGAAAGATTGAATCTGCTGCAAATTTTGCATGTGCATTCATCATATCTCGTACCAGGAGCCTTTTGATTTTGGGCGAATTATGTTGTATAATTAGCGAGTTATCAATTAATTAGTGGGACACAAGGTGTCACTATGGAGTAAGAACCCTGTTTTGGGCGATCTCCTAACTTTCGATCGATAAGTCTTCGGTCTCTGACCAATATTCTCGTTTTGATTCTTGTCAATCTTTGCCAGGAAACTTTATTCATGTTTGAATGCTTCTTCTTGCTTGGATGTCCATGTCAGTGTTGGGTTCTTTACCTCTCTAGGCCGGGAGTCTCGAGTCTTTTTTCAAGAAAATTTCAAACTTTCTATGCCAAGTGAAGTTGGGACACTATACTTCAAGTCGATTCACTGTACCTTTGTTCAGATGACTTAAGTTACTGAGAGTTTTTGAAAAAAAAATTCTCAATTCTGGCCCGGGTCAAGTCAATAGGCTTCTAAACACTGTTCTCTGCGACAAACAGCGATCGTAATCAGAAATTCCTACATTTAAAAAATCTTCAGATATATAAGTTTTTCCATATTAATATTGTGGTAGAGGAAATCCAGCAAGTTTGATCAATTAGTGGCAAAATCAAGTTAATCATAACCATCTTATTGTACATAAATAGTCACCATAATATTTAAACCTGGGGATCCATGCTATGTTTAGCACAGTGGTTCTCAACCTTTTTTCTTTTGTGGCTCATTTTCGTTACACGAAAATTTGGTAGCTTCTTAATTTTTTATGCGAAGGAAAAACTACAGAAAAATGTATGGCCGCAAAACCAGACACTTTCACTTTTATAATTAGAATAAAAATGACCCTCGGTAGCATAAAACAGCATCATCATTCAAAATCAATATTAATACACAAATGAAACAAAATCAATCAATAACAATTTTCGATGGGTTTTTGGCCAACATGAAAAAGTTGCTGTGACCCATTTGGTTGGTGGCTTAGCACGATGTTACGAATCTATACTGTGCAAGCGTTTCTTATCATTTTGCAAGACTCCCAAAGAAGCAAGTGATATCATTACTTTCCTTTTTTTAGTTCTACAATTGCTCAGTGTCTTACGATGATTGCTCTTTGTGTGTGAAGTCAAAACCAGAATACAATTGTGGATGGTGCCATTCCATAGATCAATGCACAACACAGCAGCTATGCACTAGCGACTGGACAACTGATGCCGAATCATGTTCTCCACCACAAATAACGGTATGTATGTGTACTTGTATAAATGAGGGTTTTTCAAACTTTTTGTATTATGAAGCCAGTGATGAGGTTGACTATTATTTACCGAGACCCACAATAAATTTATAAAAGGAAAAGAAAAAACACATTGCTACATACTGATTAAAGTTCCTGAGTAAATTCAATCAAGGCGGTAACATATCGACACCACCGTTGTCAAATTTTATCAATGTCGTTTTCGCTTCCTTGACAATTACAAAATTAATCAAGTCAGTATTTCAATAAGTAAATTAATGTTTCTGTCAACTAGCCCTTGAATAGACATCACTCTGCTTATGTTGCCATGATTACTGGCAGTTCCTGCTTGTCATAGGGATAGGATTTTTATATTTATCCCATGAAAGGAAAGATGAGACTTGTTAATCAATGGCGTACCACGCCTTTCGTCCAGTTACCATTCAATGTCGAGTATGGGATTAGTTGGCCAGTTATTTGTTACGGTCGCATGGACTTGATGGAAAGTTGACAGTATTTAAAAAAGTATTTTTTATAGAAATTTTCAACGAATGATTGTTTAAAAATCCAAAAATTGGTCACCATATATCCCTATTGCTATTCCCTGTTTCTAGTCTTGTTGCATTACAAAATTCAGAAAGTTTCAAATATTTTATTTACTTAGTAATCTTTCTGGTTGGCCACTTGTACCTACTCAAGTGAGATTTGTTTATTTTAGTCAGCAGATTATAAGCATTGTTTATATAAACTTATTCCCGACTAGTTCCGCTTGACTGCATATAGTCTGTGATTTTAGAATTGAATTATGATTCATTTATTTGAAGTGTTTTGATTTAAAATTGTTTCAAACCAAATAATCCATAAACTTTTCTATAATAAAATGGCAAAATTGGTGAATGAAATGTCAGGCCTCATTCGCACTCCTTTTTGATGTTAAAAATATACAACCAAAAGAAAATATGTGTCACATTTAGTAAAATATTTCACTATCTGTACAATATGCCAGCAGTTCAAAAGGTAAGTCCCAGAAATAAACAGAATTTTTCTTCTCCCTGGGATAAATATGAAAATCCAATCTTATCCAACAACAACATGAAAATTCTGACAATAACAACAATTCAGCAAACCAGCCGTTTGTAAACTTTGTCTTATTATTCCTACTTTACAGTCATTCTTTCCTACCAGTGGACCTATTGCAGGAAACACATCAGTTACAATTCATGGTGTGAATATGGGTGTGTCGGCAGACGAAGTTCAGTCTGTTACTGTGTCTAGTGTACCTTGTGCTGTGCGAAAGGATTTATATCAAATATCAAAAGAGTAAGTATTATTTATTCTGGTAGTATTTACTTTTGTATATACACACATTAAAATGAAAAAAATTGAGATATAGCTGACTTCATAATGAAATTAAAATTGCAACAGGACTTTATGAATACCCTGTATCACAGAGTGCATATTATCAATCGTAAATAACTTTTTTCAGGATTGTTTGTGTCACTGGAGTCGCACCCAAGGAAATGGATGGTAAAGTATCAATCACTGTGCGTGGTATCACAAAGATATCTACTGAGAGCTTCCACTACAGGTAAGACACAATAATGTCATATTATTATATCACTTTTTTGCTTCAATAGCTCCATGTAAATTCGTTTTAAGTTTTTCTACGCTTAGTCCAGGGGTTTATTATTTGGTAGTAATACTCTGTGATCGGCGTATTGTGCTGAGCATTATGAACATTACCATCACGCCTCTGGTTACCCTGTATGAATTAGAATGTTTGAATCCTGGAGGGGGGGGGGTGATTGTATGCAAGAGTATTTCTGGACTTCACTCAGCCATAGGGTGATTCATGCAACTGCTAGTCAGTTACAGCTCATTAAACTAACACTCATGTACCCCTGGCAATAAATGGTTCTGCTTTATTCATTTCAAGCACTGCATTCTTTCACTTTCGTTTTGCTTCATTTATCATGTTCGCTCAGGCGTGAATATTTTTCTATTGCTTTTTGTTTTCTGTTTTTACTGTTTGGGCAGCATGCTCATTATTAGTGTGTGGTTTTGTTAATCTGTATGAATCGATGTATTGACTTTGAACTGAGTTGTATTGTCAGCTTTACACTGGTAATTGAACGGGAGACTCGGTTCGCGATATGATTAACCTGACTTGTCGACTCTTCTTTCATTGGATATTCAGGAAAATCATTTTCTAAATTTGACCTGCTTGGAGGGTAAATTTTGCCAACAAGAAATTGACTTTTTTCTGTTTCATGAATATGATACCCCCAGCCCTGCTTGCAATTTAACTCAAAATTCTTTATTTTAGGAATCCTACTTTAGATGAAGTTCTTGTACCTGAAGGTCCAATAGCTGGAGGAACAATGGTTTCAATTACTGGAAGCAATCTGGATGCTGGGTTGTACAGAGAAGCATTTATTGGAAATCTACCTTGTGAAGTACAATTGTGAGTTGAAGAATAGTTATCTTCATTCATGCTATGGCAGAAGTGAGCAAGGTTTTGAACCAGGGGCCAAAAATTTTTCCCACCTAGACGGAAAAAGTTACATTTTATTATTATGAAGTGTTGCAAAAGTGGAAAACAATAAGCCTTGTGCCCAAACTAAATTTAATCACAATCCCAACAAATTCCTTCAGCTATTTTTTTTAGCTGAAACATCAAAATTTGGTTTTAGTTTGGTTGTGGCAGCATCAGGCGGGCCATATTGAATTACCAAAACATGCTGGATTTTTCATTGCTTTGGTATAGTTGCATTATTAGCATGCAGATCCACTTAGTTAGTTTCACATAACCTTAACTTATAGTCAGTTTCAGATATTTCTGTCTAATCTTGCGTTCTATTAGAATAAGTAATAGCCTTGTGTCTCTCTATTGTAACTTGTAGTCCTCTTTATTTTTACTATGGCACCCTTGCATTAAAAGCGTACAGACCAACTTAGTTAGGCTTGCATAACCCGACTGATAGTTATTTGAGTTCCATGTTTTGATAATTCTGTCTAATCTTGAGTGGTATTAGAATAAGTAATATTGTTGTGTCTCTCTTTATAGTAAGTGTTTGCCATGCCACATAGTACGAACATTGGGAAAACTGATAATTTAACACTTCTGATTACCTTGTGGGTGTCCACAAGTTTGTATCTTATGAAGTTTAGTTTATAAGCGAGAGAAAATTAGTGGTATTTAGGTTGGTTACAGGCTTAACAGCCTTCACAGCTGTCTTCATGCATATTTCAACTAGTTATCTCCTCCCATGCCTGACCTAGCATGATAACCCAGTGATTTTTAAATTTTTTAAGCCGCGCCCCTATTTTGAAATGGATGAAGTCTCGTGCCCCATCTCAAAAATAACATTAAGCTACAAAAAAAGGTAGAAAGGCGAATATAAGTTTTTTTTCAAAAAACACGTTGAAAATACAAGGACGGAACATAAATATCCAAAATAAAAATGTAAATATCCAATATAAGGTGGACAAGATCAAATCTAACAATAATTAGCTCCACGTCCCCTCAAAGAATTATCTGTGCCCGTCCCCTCTTGTGGGGCGCGTCCCATCGTTTGAGAACCAGTGCTTTAACTAGTTAGCAACTCCCATACCTGACATTGCATGGTATTTTAATGAAAGGCCATGACCTAACTTAAGCTATAGTTTATGGTTCAATAAATGATTATTTTATCAATATTCCTCTCAGACTGAATATGAAAACTGCTATTCTTCTTGTCTTGGTTATTTTTTACTTATAAACTGGCTCATAGTTCGATTTTCGAGACCCATTTTTTCAGCGTGAGCTCCTCGGCTCATTTTATTTTTTTAGTGGTTTGGCATAGGGTAATATTGTCCTCGGACAATAAAATAAAGAAAGAAAGGGACTGTAACATGATATTTTTTCCATCAGTTTTTATGAATTCTCACATTGTGAATCTGCTTTGGAGTTGGCTTATTCACGAGAAAATACGGTAATTTTATTGAGGGAATAAAAATATATTTTGATATCACAGGCCTCTAAGATCAAGCACGGATCTTGAATGCAAAACATCACCGGCTAAAGGTCCACTTATTAAAGCAACTGTTCGAGTTGTTTTTGATGGATATTCTGTTGAATTGAGAAATGCTTTCAGTTATGTCAAAAACCCCCAGGTATTTATCACTGACTCTCATGCTGTTTTTCGAGTTAAAAAAACTGTTGGGGACGTGAGTATGTTCGTGTATTTAGTTGATTGGGCGCTCCAGCAGTGTGTGTATACCAATATGGAGGGACCTATTTTGGTTTGACTACTTTACATCAAGTTGTATAAAGGGACTGAAACCTATGGTCAGGGGTATATTCACTTACAGGCTAATACAGACAGTCTCCGAACTCGAAATAGAACTAAAACAAGGAAAATCGAAATAAAATTATGGCCTAATCCTAACCTGGTACACACACTACGGGAGTATCCTTGATTGTAGTATGGAATGTATTTTCACTGGGTATGTATTGAATTGGGTAGTCTGTATGCTAAACCAAAAAGCATTCAAGTACATATCATTGGCTGCTCATTTAAGGCAACGCCGTTGGACTTCTCAAAGTAACTTGTTTCGATTTTGCGATCTTTAGTTGTTTTGGTCAACAGGAGCATAAGCGACCTGGGTTCGGAGTTCACAACAGTTTCTCAAGCTCTCATCAATGAATAGGATTTTGACTCCAGTTCTGAACTCCTAGAGAACCAAATCTTTTTATCGGTTTGTTATAAATACTTGGAAAAATGCAAATTTTGAGTTTGACTATAACTATTGACATTCTGGAAAATTTCAAACTCAAACTCAACTCAAAAGAATTCAACGTTCTACTGAGACACCCAGGGAAATACATCTTCTAACACCAAGTCCATCTTTACATAGCCAAGAAACTAACTTAGATTCTATTATCGCAAGCAACGATTGTTTTTTGCAACGATATTATTTATGAAAACAAAAATTTTTCACTTCAGATTTCGTCGTTCACGACAGCAACTGATATAATGGCAAGTTTCTTAGCTGGAGGAAGAGATATTGTGTTTTCTGGAGAAAGACTTAATATTGTGCAGGATGCTAAACTTGTGTAAGTTTCTACTTGTTACTTATCGATTTTAATCGGTAAGTATGTTGATAGGTATTTGTCTGTTTGTCTGTTGGATGCACGCGATATCTGACGAAAGCGAGATTGAATCTGCTCCAGATTTTGCATGTGCATTCATTATATGTCGCACTAGAAGCCTATTGATTTTGGATGAATTATGTCGTATAATTAACGAGTTACTAATTAATTAGTGATGGGACACAAGGTGTCACTATGGAGTAAGAGCGCTGTTTTTGGGGATCCCCTAACTTTCGATCGAGTCTTCGGTCTCTGACCGATATTCTCGTTTCTAGACTTAAGGTGGAAAGAAGGTTTTAGGTTTAAACCCCTGATTTTACAAGAAAACTTTCCGTTCTTCCCTAGTTTCATAAGGTTTCACTGTCATAGACGATGTACTCTCTGGAACTTAACATCTTAACTTCATTGAAGTAATTTCCCCTTTTTTCAGTGCTTTCGTTTCTAACGATATTCAACAACCGAATAGAGGGAACAAAAGAAAGCGAAGAAAAAGGAGTTTAAAGAATATTATCAGATATATGTTGAATGGAGGAAGGTATGTCAACATCAATGCATTGATATTCACCATGAAATGTCTGGTGTTGTGTTTCTAAATTTCTATGCTTTATTGCCTACACCCTGTACTGGTACTATTGTTTTGTACTTCTTAAAAACTGTAGTATCTTATAGCCAGGCACGTCTTTTGTATGGACATAACAAATCTAAACACCCAAACAATTTCTTGATATGCGCTTTTCACCACAAATTATTTCATCTGGGACAAATACAAAATCATTCTGTGGTTATTACCAAAGTAATTTCCTGAATGATTTTTCAGGAAATCACTTGTTACAGGTCATTGACATTGAATAAAGAACCTGTAATGTATTGCTTTTGAAATCGGAATTTTATGTTTCTGTTCTGGGAATTTTTGTATTTATTCCTGTATTGGTGAATTTAGTGACTTCATTTTTAAAATGTGTATTTTCCTACAATAAATGGCTCGGCTGTGTGGCACATTGCGCTAAGCATTGATAATGCGCTTGCCATCACGCCTCTGATAACCCTGCGCGGGTTCCCATGCTGGGATAGTTATGTGAGAAAGGGTCACTGGACTCATCGTAGCGGCTGTAGGGTAGTACACATAACCGTTGGTCAGTTACGGCTTCCTCCACCATGAAGTCCATGCTCCCGAAACAAATAACTAACTAATCCCATACCCGACATGGAATGGTAACCGTACGAAAGGCCGTGGTTCGCCTTATGATTAAGCCGTCTTATCAGCTTCCTCACCCCCGTGATAAATATGTTTGTCCTATCCTGTAAACCCTGAATTTTCAACTTATTATTTCAGAAATAAAAGAAGTACGAAAAAGTTTCAGGATTCACGCGTTACTCGGTTTTCTTCAACATGTGAAGTTGTCAATTCAACAAATATAATTTGTCCTTCTCCAGGGGTAAGTAATTGTTTATGATTTTTTAAGAAAAATTGTTAGAATAAAATTCAATTCCCGATTCTTCAATGAAATACATATAAAAAAAATTGTAAATTGACCTAAAATGCAATGTATTCAAATATACTTATCACATATCAAAATACAATCTGCATGAGAGGGGGAGACGCGTAATCTGCAATTCCAACACAGTTGAGTCTAACGCTCAAAAATTGTTACTAGTCCTTTTCACTTCTACATTTTTTAAACTTCTCTCATTTCTAGATAAATTTGACGAACAATATTACTGGAACAATGCCGGTCGAAACTTCACTGCGCCTAATCATGGACAACATTAATATTCCATTATCTTCAACTTTAAAATATTACCCGAATCCTATCGTGAAAGATTTAGACCCGGAAGAAAATCAAGAAATTAGAAACGGGACTTTGTTGCGCATAACGGTAAGTTTTTACTAAATCTTACATGGACAACGTTTTTTTTTAATGGTTCATTGAACGAGGCGATTATGTGTTCATCAATGTGACGTTTTATAGAGTTAATTAATGAGTCCCCCTACTGGTTACTGTTTCTAAGAAATTTCAAAACAAAACAATTCGTTTTTTAATTGCTATTTAATGCATTATTGTTCAACTACGCCTGTCTTGGCCAATGGCCGGCAACCAACTTGTCTAATGTTAAACACGTTCATGGATACCATCCTGTGCCATATTCGGGAAACGCAAAACAGTAGAGTCTTATGGGAAAATTTCGTCATGTTGTTGTACCGAATCGAATAAGTCAGCTGTTATAAGGGCTAGAATGAAGTCGAAGGGTGGATTTTGAACTTTAAGCTATATGCTATTTAAATATATAACGCAGTTAAGAATGAAAAATTATCTAATGCGTTAAATTTGACCACAAACACAACGTAGAACCATTTTTTCAAAGATTTCAGGGGGGATCGCCAATTTGACGCTGTAAAATCTCTCCGCAACAACCTACAATGTCATTTGTTCCTCCAGCACAGCTTGGAGCTGAGCTCGACAGACGAAAATTGTTAACCCGAAAATAGAAACGGCCCTTGAAGCGAAGCTGTGTTAGATGGCCTAGAACGGGGTGGTCCAAACCCAGGCCTGCGGGCCACATGTGGCCCGCTGCTTCATTATCTGTGCCTCGCGTCACATTCAGAGAGTAATCAATAAATCGCAATTAATTAAAAAAACATATTCTTACATATTATTGATATATATATATATTTGACACTAATGTCATTGAATTGACTAGTGTTATGGCTATAGCTGAGGCAAATAGCAAAGTTGAATGATGTGGTTGGCAGTCTAAATTATTATCTGGCTTTCTATCTTTTTGGTCGGGAATATATTCTAACAATATAGGCTTCAAAGAAAACTAAAAATCGAATGCGGCTACTCTTAGCCTGGGATGGCTATGTCTGATAACTATGTGTTTGCACAATAAAAGTGTTTTGTATTGCACTGTTTACCTATTCTTGGCACTATTGTGGCCCGCGGAGCCGACAACCTTGGACCACCCTGGCCTAGAACAATAGGCACAAGATGGCGTCCGCATCAAGTTATGTAAAGGGACGGTAGCCGTGGCCCTACAGGAGTACCTTATAAACTACTTAAACTGTATGAAAGCGAGAGTGCACATAACACCAGCTCCATTAAAAATGAATGAATCTCTCACTCCGAGGACTAATATGAAAATTTCTGTCTTTATCCAGATTCTCAATCTTAACAAGGATGCAATTCGTGAGAGCGAGATTGAGATAATGATCGGCGAACGACGTTGTTTCGTGGATTCTATCAATGATAAAGGAAGCATTGACTGCAGAATCCCACCAAAACCCGAAGGTTCATTCTTTTTATCTTTCATAAAACAATTTTCTATTTTATTAATAAGCCTGATTATGAATTTTTTACTCATTTAAAAGGTTCAAGGAAAATTCGCCGCATGAAAATTCGCCGCAGGAGCATTTTGCTGTAAAACAAGTATTTTTGATAAAAACAGTTAGGTTTTTGAAGTATCTTTTTATTTAACAAGATTCTTATTTAAGAGCATACCCTGACCCTATAAACCTAACTGTTTTTATCACGAATATTTGTTTTACAGCAAAATGCTCTTGCGGCGATTTTTCATGCGTCGAAATTACCGATGACAAAATTTCTACGGCGAGATTTTTTAGGGCGAAATTTCCTGCGGCGAATTTTCCGGACACGGAAATGCCCAGCCCTACTTATGATCCGTAATATATGGTACACGGTTTGGTTATGACCCAGCGAATTTTCCTACGGTTTAAAATTAACTGGGTTGGCAGTGCGGGTTACACATCTCAGGGTTCTGGTCATTTCTAATAAAAGGAGCTTCTTACATTATTTCACTATATATCAGCGGCTGCTCGAGTGACTCATATAAAAGGGGGATCAAAATCATTTGTGCTATTGATTGAATTTCAATGAGACTAACTACTTATCCTTCTTCTATGCTTCTATGCGGTGAATTCGTATGCATATAATGCAAGGATGCTGTAGCAAGAGTAAAGATAACTATCCTAGGTGATTCAAGAGTCTTGCTGCACTAACACAAATATATTTCTGTAACGTTTCGTCTGACAAATTTCCTCAGACAAGCAAAATCTGGCTGCTCTAATTCAACTATTTGTTTATTCAAACAGGGGAAGAGACATCATTTCCAGTTACTGTACAAATGGGCTTCAAATCTTGGGAAGTTGGAACTGTCCAATATTTTGTCTCTCCCCAACAACAAGGACTTATTATTGGAATGGTGATCCTTTCTGTCGTAGTCACAATTGCATTGGTGGTCATCTTTTTCTGCTGTTTTAGAAGAAATAAACATTATAAAGCTAACAAGTAAGATAATATTATTTTAAGATAATTTTTTGAAATTATTCAAAACAGATTTGGGCTATTTGACGTAGTGGTTGAAAATCTGTGGATCAACACCCATGCCCACCCAGGATAATGTATTGGGTAGGCAATGCTGAACATTTTTCGGCACAGCAGTGTGAGGCATTGTGATAAACGTTAGGAATACACTCGTCACTGCACCTCCTGATTACCCTACTTGGGTTCGCGTGTTTGAATCCCATGCGGAGACATTTATGTGCGAGAGGATTACTCCTCCTCGTCTCTGCAGGGTGGTTTATGTAACCGACGGTTGGTTACCGCTTCGTCCACCATCGAGTCCATGCATCTGAAAACAAATAACTGGCTAACTAATCCCGTACTCGACATATACTGGTAACCTGACGAGAGGCCGTGGTTCACCATATGAACAAGCTGTCTTATAGGCTTTCCCCTCCATCTGGATAAATATGTAAATCCTATCCTATAATAGTCTCTTTGCATTTTGAATTTCCTAGAGTTGGTGTAGAACAGAGGTTCTTGGAATATGAGCTGTGATCCAAACATGGGTCGCAGAGGGTCGAAAAATGGGTTCCATCAAGGTTATTCAAATCTGCAGAAATTATCAAATCCATAATAGCCGAATTACTACTTCATACACATTTTTCTCGACTTATTTAAGTTTTAATATAGGATGCTCATTACCACTGATGAGTAGGCATTTCCATCAAGCTGGGCAGGGTGACCAAAATCCTATGTGTCAGATAGTAAGCAGTTGTTATTTGTATTGCAAAAGATGTTTTTCAATGTTTGATGTTTGGGTCATGAGATGTTCATAAAACTCAAATTTGGATAGTGCTCAAGAGATATTATTTTGAAACCACTGGTGTAGAATTTATAATGAAGACAGTCAAACTTTTCAGTCCTCCTGAAGTATGTGTACTAGTACCAGGTTAGGGTTAGGCCATAATTTTGTTTTGATTTTAGTTCTATTTCGAGTTCGGGGACTGTCTGTGTTAGCCAGGTGAATATACCCCCTGCCCATCAGTTTCCTTCACACAACTTGATGTAAACTAGGCGAACAAAATTAGTTACCTCCATATTGGTACACACACTTCTGTAGCGCCATATTTTCTACAAAATTAACAAAAAAAATTTGTGACCTGTAGTAAGAGTCGATTGTTAGTTTTTTCGAATTCCAGCACACCACCTTTTTTTCTTTTTTTGCTCAGCTTTAACCCTCTTCCTTTTTATTCACAGAAATGACTTCCAAGAAGCTTTAGCCCAGTTAGAAATGTCAGTTCGAGCAGATTTTCGCAAAGCTTTTGCCGAACTCAGTATCGACATGACAGACTTGACAGGCGATATTGGAGACCTTGGATTGCCAATACTAGGATACAGAGAGTATGCAACGAATATGTTTTTTCCAAGCGTTCGATATCACTCATGTATGAAGGAACCTAACGTAAGTGTTTATGTCTATTGAAAAATTATATTTATTTGGTTTTCGTATTTATTGATATCATGGCACAACAGACATAAAGTATTAGGAATAATACTATTACATCTCTGGTTACTCTGAAAAGGTTCACATGTTCAAATCTCAAGAAGTAATTATGTGCAAGAGAATTGCTGGGTTCCCACCAATTTACACTTATACAGCACACTGTCGTTACAAAGTATTCCGGCATTATTTTGTACTAAAATCAAATCAAACATAGTCAAACTTTTTCTGTGTCATGGAGATGTTTTAATAATTTTGAAATTAAAATTTTATCTTGCTTATTTATAATGCTCACAAGAATTCAGGAGAATTCACCGAAAATAATGTGGGTGATTGCCCCAAGAGGAGGCTTACCCCTTACTCAGCGCGACTTGCCCTGTTTTGTGACTGAAATATGCCATGGTGGCTTTGCACAGCTTATTATGCCGGTTATATATGAATATTAGCTTATTATATTATAAGTAATTTGGTGAGCGTAGGATGGTTACATGGAGTGGCAAGATTCAAAATTTTGAGAACGGTTCTCTTTTGTATTGAACTCGCCAATGACTGTTTGCAAAATATATGTATATTTCTATGTAAGCTTAACATTAACATGACACGCTTTGCTTAAATCCTATACATTACATTCCAAGTGCCATATATAGTGCTATTCGTCATCTGCGGTGAACATTGCGCATTTTCCGCACTCGTTTAATGTCCAACCAGTTCGCTAATTCAAGGTTTCTCAAACTTTTCTGGTCACGGACACATGTTTGTGAATCGTAGTTTTGACGGACCTCCTTCTTATGCCATATCAATATCTGTGCCCGGTTCCATTACATTTGAACCCACGTACATTTGAACCCATGACAATTGCACCTGTATGCTATTGCACCTATGGAATTTTTTTTGTTTCACGGATAGTTAAACCCATACTAACCCTAACCCATGGGTTTTAGCACCCGCATATAGATTGAACCCGTGGATATACGCATGGGTTCAAATGTACATGGGTTCAAATGTACAGTCACCTCTGTGCCCAACCAATGAGGAAGGATAACATTTCATTTACAATCCATCGAAATTAAAGTGATGCTCAGTTTCTCAATTCTGATCAGACTCTTAATATCGTTGCCCTCCGCGAACCCTAATTTTGGAAACCCCGCACTAAATATCCCGTAATAACCCACTGAGTCTCACCACAGATGCGATTAGTTTCTATGTGATTATTTATGTGACTCAATGAAGATCTAAATCAGTGATTCCCAATCTTTCCCTTTCGGTGGCTTTTACTACTCATGGCACTCCTATTTATCCATTAAGTGGTGCTTAAAATGGTATTTTGATCGGTACATCCCAAATTCCATTATTTTAAACAATTCATGCTCAACAAAGCGAAAACGGCCTGTAAAATAATCTTATCAAGCAATGATACTAGGAATATAAGGAGTTTTCTTGTGAATTGAAAAGTGAAATCAGTTTTGCACTTAGCATTGTGCCCTCCTCAAACTGCTCTGTGGCTCCCGGTTGGAAACAGCAGGACTAGGTCTTTCTAAGTTCTAATTGGGCATGAGGTTTTATTGTTGTACACTCAAAATCGACATATCAGCTTTTCTTTCCCACAGGTTTTGTGTATTCTTTTAAACTTCCCAAAATGAAAATCCATTCCAATTATTTTTACCAGTCTTCCACTCAAGCTATTGAAGACCAAAACGTAAGTCTGCTAATCATGACGGTGCAATTAACATGATTTGACGCTGTTATTGCATCCATATTCAGAAATCACCAATCGTAACCACTAATTTGTCAACTGGATAAAAGATTTTTGCTGCTCATTTTTTTTATCCCAATCATGATTGATTTAGTCCAGATTAAATTGGTCCAGGCTGATTTAATTTCTATTGAAAAAAAAAACTAAAATAATCTGTACTACCGAAGTATGTGAACCAAGCACACCGGAACGTAGTATGTGTACCAGGTAAGGGTTAGGCCATAATTTCAGGTACAAATACTACAGGAGTCACTTGGCTAGTACCCGAACTCGTAATAGAACTGAAATACGGAAAATTGGAATAAAATTATGGCCCAACCCTGACCTGGTAGACATACTACGTTCCAGTGTCCGCCATCTTGGTTCACATACTTCGAGTGTACCAAAGAATCTCACTTTCTTGTATTTCTATATTCGAAGCCATTGAATATACACCCAGTTTATAATATATCTGACAGCTTATATTCAGAAAAATTATTTTAAAATGTATTCAGAATAGGTTCTTGGTCACCGCTGTTTAAAACATTATCGTACTGCGTCAGATCATATTTTTGTCGTTGCCAATCCTTAAAAACTGACTTAGATGAAGTATAGTAGACTTGAACCAATGGCTCGAATCTTCAGTCAGATGAGTTGTCTGTGGTTTATAGCTAGTTATTCACATTTACATAAGTCGAGTTTTGACACTTTAAACTTTGACCGCAACGCAATTTGGCTTTTGATTGTCTTTTGGATGTGATTTAGCCGATGCATGTTGCATGCTTGAAGCTTCGCTGCTATGTAATACTCGCTGATGAAGCAATCAACATGATTTAAATGATTTGCATCCTGGTATGTCTCCACTGTCTATCAGACTTGTTTGTCTTAAAGAAAAATGATTTTTAAATCAATTTGAAACTGAAAGAAATTTCAAATTGAAAACGAATCTTTTCTTAACTGAAACCAACTAATCGAGAGCTTCAACACAAAATGGTGAATCTTAAAAAGACAATTTTTAGAAAATGCGGAAAATGAATTTTTATGTTTTATTGGATTAGGATCGATATAAAAATATACACAAATGGTTAGAGTGAGCATATGAAGTGGGAAGCAACACTCATGTAATGTTTCATACCAGATTTGGCGATCCAGAAGTATGTGTACCAATATGGAGGTAACTAATTTTGTTCGCCTACTTTACATCAAGTTGTATAAAGGGACTGAAACCTATGAGCATTTGGTATATTCACTTTACAGTCCCCGAACTCGTAATAAAACTAAAATATGAAAATTGCAATAAACTTATGACCTAACCTGGTACACATACTGCAGGAGTAACCGACATTTTTAATATAATAAAATCATATCATTCAACAGCTTACAGTCAAAAAAGATTAATTTTCATTTTATTTAAAAACAGCTTGTTCTTCTATTGCTTCATAATTTAGCAGCCATCAGCTAAATATTAATTACCATTACATGCTATTTGTTAGCTTCTAAGTAATTGTAAATAACGAGTATGAATATAGGCAACTTTTATTCTAAAGAATACTAGAGATGGATAAATAATTTTGAGTTTAAAATAATTATGCAATTACTGCTATCAAATAAGGCTTATTATATGTGATAATGATTATAATGAAAATGACTGTTTCTTTGTATTAGATTGTAGAAGTCCATGATCAATTTAAAATATTTGAAATTAATAATGAAATTCACACAGGAATTTTATGATAAATAAATTTAGATTTGGATTTCTTCATTTTAAACTGGGTACTCCCGAAGTATGTGAACCAAGATGGCGGACACCGGAACGTAGTATGTGTACCAGGATAGGGTTAGGTCATAATTTCAGATACATATACTACGGAAGTCGCTTGGCTAGTCTTCGAACTCGTAATAGAACTAAAATTGGAATAAAATTATGGCCTAACCCTAACCTGGTACACATACTACGTTACGCTGTCCGCCATCTTGGTTCACATACTTCGGGAGTACCTTAAACTGGAATGAATTGAATAGAGCAGAGTCCGATATATTGGGTATCATTCCTAAATCAGACTTGAAAGTTTTCAGATTTGAAAAAGTCTCGTCTGCACTTATTTTCCTTGTCAAGGTGACCTGCAATCAAGTGCAAATCAGTATTAATCCATAAAAATATAGTGTTCACATATATCAAATTTTGAATTTTTTTAATTTATTTTGAATGGGAACATAACATTTTTGCGCTCATTAATTATATTTTCTTTTTCAAGTATCTTGGTGATATAACCAACATACATTCTTTGACTGTATGTTTTATTAACTTTGGTACATATATCAAATTGGCAATAATACTACGATTCGCTGAAGATTTCGGTTATCAATAGAAAACTTTCTCTTTTATTGAATTTCTTCAACTTACTCTTTTACAGCCAACTGATAAACCTATTCCAGCAGTTCAGCAAGGATTCATCCAATTTAACTTGTTGATCACAAACAAACACTTCCTTTTATCTTTCGTCCGAACTCTGGAACAGCAACGAGGATTTAGCAACAGGGATAAAGGAAATGTGGCTTCTTTGATAACTGTTGTTCTGCATAAAAAATTGGATTATTTCACAGAGTAAGTTTGAATAAGCTAGGGTTTTGAACCAAGGTTCCGCGACACTCAGGGTCCCTCTAGTACACCCCAGGGTTTCCGTAGGTTTTCATCGTTGAAGTCCGATAATTCGTATTACTACATATGTAGATGGTTTAAATATAATTAAATACCTAAATTTACCCCTATTTTTATATTTGCTACACTTCAAAGACTATTTTGTTTTACCAGTATTAGTTTTGTTTTTATATATATTCATAGTTCATACGATTCAGATAATATAAAACAAATTAAACTATTGCACAGTAGAGCTAAGATCTGAAGCCCGACCCAACCCGAAATTCGAGCCGGGTCGGGCCTGAAAGGCCTATCCTTACGTTCGGTTCGGGCTTCTCTATCGCTGACTTTTTTTTTAAATGAGGCGTTTTGGCCACGAGAGACTGTGGTCTGCAAAAAAAACAGAAGTTGCCCCATCAACCCAGCACATACTGTACTAAACTCTTGCAATGCCAATTCAATGAACTCCTAAATAAAATGTGAAATTTTGGATTTGCTTTGGGCTCGGGCCTGCAAATCTAATCACAGGCCTGGGTCGGGCCGGGCTGGAATTTTTGGGCTCGATCTTACCTCTATTGCACGAGGGTTCCTCGAGCCTCCCTAACGTTTCATCGGGGTTCCTCTCCACGAAAAAGATTGAGAACCCCTGCTGTACAGTCTCAGTAACTCTTGACATTCAGGTGGCCAAAATGACTTCGAGATTAATTCAGCTCTGGATTAGCTGGTTTGCAATAAACCACCACAAATAGATATAATTTCAGTAACCCTTAACGTTAGGTTTGCACTAATTAACCAAAATCAATTTCCTATTTACGACAAAATCGCTTACGTAATGACCCCGTAATTGCGATAGTTACACTACGCTTACCGATTTCTCCAGTCATAAAAGTATGGAATCAACCAACGTAGTAGTGGTCATCCGTGTTCAAGATATGGGTCTGTTTTATTTCCGAGTAAGTGCACATGATCACACACTTACTTAATTTATTCATCTTTTAATAATTATGACATTGCTTTAAAAAAATTTGTTTGGTCAGTTCGTTAGGTTACAATACTTTTTTATATTCAGAGTGATGAAGTGCCTTGTTTCTGAACTCGTAGCCACAAGTGTGCAGAGGAATCCGAAGCTAGTTCTGAGAAGGTAAAGCATGAAACACTTGTAAACAATATTTAAGACGTAAAAGAATAAAAAAAATATCTAGTCTTGTTCAGAAATAGTGCCTTGAACTATAGTAACACTAGAAATAGTTACTAATTAACACCAAATTTGCTTACCCTCCATCTTAGCCATACATTTTTATCACAGCTCAAAAAAGTCTTTCTTTGACCACTTGTACAGAAATATTTTTGTTGAAATATTGAAAATATCACTGAAAAGTTATTTTCACTTAAATAACAATATAGAAAACAAATAGTTTGGGTATTTTAAATGAAGTTTAAACATAAATCTAATTTTTGTATGTGGTAACTCCACAACCCTCACCAAGAGCAGAAGGGCACACAAAATGGTTTGGCGGGTTGTAGTATGCATATGATCTAGACCAGCGGTTCTTAAAGTATGGGTCGCGACCCAAACATGGGTCGCGGAAGGTTTAAAAATGGGTCGCGACAAGGTCGTTAATGCAAGGGCAATCTAAGAGGAGAAGGAAGAATTTTTAGCTTTCCCAATGTTTCAATTTAGCTTCTAAACTCTGGTATTTAAAAATAATGAAATATAAAATTTCATTCACGGAAAGAACTGTCTTGAGCTCATTGTTACATCACAATCCTGATATGCCAGTCACGTGTATTATTTTTATGGTATCGGTAACCATGCACGTCGCTTGTCGTTGTGTTGAACGCGTAGAATTTCGTCTTAGTGGATTAAAATAACCAAAAATGGGTGTCTTTTTGGTAATGTAAATTGTAATAGACGACGCAATGAAAGAGCTCGCTTCTCGACATTAGATTATTCAATATCTAGAGAAAATGTGACTTCATCTCGAGGCACCATTTACCGCGAACGAAGCAGTGTGTGCACATTTGATGAGTAAAAAGTTGTATATTGCGAGAGATACCGAAGGCCAGCTAGGATGTCGTGTTTGCGACGGACAGCGGACGCCTTTTCTGCTACAATTCGCGACAAGGCACTTGTGCGAGCGTGGATATTTGGCACTGACGGTTATCAAAACTAATCGCCTCGCAATCGCCTCGATACCCGTGACAACTTCCGTATTGCGTTAAGTAAAATAGAGCTGTGTATTGAAGATATAATGAAAAGGAAATTTCAGTTTCATCAATCTCACTGAGTCAATGGACTGTTTCTAATAAATAGTTGTCTGTATTTGAGTCAAACTGTACTAACATTAAAAACACATTTTGCGTTATTTAGGATTGGGTCGCGAGTATTCATAAAACTCAGATTTGGGTCGCGCTCGAAAAAGTTTAAGAACCACTGATCTAGACACTTGACTGTACACAGCTTAAAATAAACTATTATTTGATAAAGGAATTGAGTCATTTTTTTCTGTATTCATATATTGGTACTCCTGTAGTATGTGAAGGCCTACCAGGTTAAGGTTAAGCCATAATTTTTTCCTTAATTTAGTTCTATTACGAGTTCGGGGACTAGCCAAGCGACGCTTGTAGTGTTTGTACCTAAAATTATGGCCTAACCCTAACCTAGTACACAAACTATGTTCCGGTGGCCGCCATCTCGGTTCACATACTACGGAAGTACCGAAATTACGACTTTTTTTCTGTATTCATTTATTATGTTGAGCATGCGTTATTTCCATCCCGTTATGTTATTTTTGTTTGCATGTATTTACATCAACCACAGAACTGAGTCTGTAGCTGAGAGAATGTTCAGTAACTGGATGGCTATTTGCCTTTTTCCTTACATAAGGGTAAGTATGGTTTCTGTATTAAGTTTTTGTTAATATACAGGGTGATCGCTGGAAAATAGCCACCATTTATTTTTACAAATAATAACTTTTACAAAATTTTTTGAGGGCATACCGTATTTGCTCGTTTTGTAGCCCGGGCCAATATTTTTTTAACCAAACTCAGTAACCGAGCCCTTATTCAAACCGACCTTTATTCAAGCACGGGCGCTTGTTATTTTTAAAATAAATAATAAACAAAAATATATAAAAAAAACATATATATATATAGTTAGATCGATCGTTACAATAATTAATGCTATCTGTTATGTAATTGGACGCCTAAGGCGTGAGTGTTGTCTACCAGCGCTTAAAATTCAACAGCGTTGTAACAAAAGCGCTTCTTATTTCATATTGTTCTCTACCACTGAAAAATCAGCTTTTACATCAAGCGGGTATTCAAGCACCGGCCCTTATTTATTTCTATGTTCTGTTCACACGTACGGCTATTCAAACGGGCCCTTAATCAAGATCGGGCGGCAAAACGAGCATATGCGGTATGTTAATTTACACTCATGGATGCTCAAAATGTTGTCCGTGCACTACAGAGCAGTGTCTTAACCTAGAAGTCAAAGCTTGTGTAGCGTTTTGAAGGTTAACTTGTGGGATATCGTTCCAATTCAACATATACCTATACGCATTTTATTTATGATCTCATCTGACTTGCAAACTTTCTGCTTTTCCAGCGACCACTCTGTATTTTTGATTTTGTTTTTGTGGTGAAATTTTCGGTCCAAACTATCTTTGTTTTTTCTGTACTTTCAAAAAATTTATTTTATGTGTTAATATATTTTTCATACAGCAATATCGACTGTTGGAAGGAATTAAATATTTTATTAGGTATAGTAACACAAGCACAATTTTCAGGAAGTGTTCAATATGGCATTCAGTATTGTGTGTCATGTTATTAGGAATATACATCACCTCTCTGATTATCTTGCCAGTTCAAGAAAAAATAAAATAAAAACTGATAGGAATTGAGATGAATATTATTCAATGGGATCATTTATTTCCCATTTTTGGAATTTCTGATTGGTGTTCTGCAATCAATTTTTGATTTAAAAAGTCGCAGTTCAAATAAGGTTGAAAATCATAGAAATAAACCTGAGGCGGCCTGCTGGCCGGCCCGTTGGGTAATTCAATCTGGCCTGCCTGTTGCTCCCACAACCAAAATAAAACCAAAATTCAATGTTTTGACTAAAAAATTAGCTCAAGGAATTTGTTGAGATTTCAATTAAATTTAGTTTTGGCACAAGGCTTATTGTTTTCCACTCTTCTTTTGTAACACTGCAAATATTGTTCATAAAATGTAAATTTTTACGTCACACTTATATGGCCCGTCAGTCTGAGTGGGCAAAATTTTTTGCCCCTGGTTCAAGAACCTTGTCAACCCCTGATCCATATATAGGGATTTGAGTAATGGTTTCCTTTGAATGTATCCACTGAGACCCTTCTATTTACATATGATTAATCCTTCAGGATAAAGCAGGGAAGCCGTTATTCCTTTTACAAAAAGCCATTAAACATCAAGTGTCGAAAGGTGCATTGGATGCCGTGACTGGAAAAGCGAGATACACACTGAGTGATGATAGACTGCTGAAAGAAGACATCCAACCTGAAACACTGGTAAGGAAAATTTTTTGTAAATTCTGCTCTGGTACAAGAAATTGTGACACACAGGACGGACGTTTAGGAGCACTGCCTCTAAATTAGTTTGAAAACATGATATATAGGAATCATTTTTTTCCCTTTTTATCTAGATTTCCTGTTAGCAAGTGGGTATGGGCAATAAGAAAATAACGAATCCAAAAGGATCGGATGACAGGATTTGTTTTCGGTCTCTTCGGCGGCGCCTAGTGTTAATTTTGGTTTTTATTAATCTAAGACAAGCGCTTTCTTTCGCGCCGAAATTTCTCTCGTTTGATTAGACTTGCGCTTGCTTTCAAAAAATCTGTGAATGAGGCAGACATCAAACACTGTAATCTATTCAACATATTGCGACTGGATATCTTAAATCTATAGAATATGTAACAATTTTTTTTTCTTTTTTAGACCCTGTTTGTATCGCAAAGTGAGACTCATTCAGATGAACCAATCATTGTCAAAGTTCTGTCTTGTGACACCATCTCACAGGTTAGTTGGTATTTAAAATTCATCTTGTATATTTGTCGGATATCAGTAGCCGCTTGCAGATGGCCTTTTTGGGGAGAGAAAGGCGCGGATAAGTTGTTAAAAAAGGTGTTTCTGATAATGCCACTATTATATATTCTCCTGGGTCTCGTGTTCCGACCACTTGTTGTTATGCTTTCTTGTGCTTAACTAACGAGTAACTATACTCACGTCAATATTTATTTTCCAAAATTGTGGAGTGCATTACGTATTTGTGTACGGAAATATCGAAAATTAGTAATCCAAATTTTATGCTCACAATACACACAAATATTAGTTTCATTCCCATTAATTTTATTTGGCAAAGTCTGTTAGAACCAGATCATGCTTGTTTCGGTAGAAGCTTAACCATGGAATTGGCTGTTTTGCCCAAAACTGGTGAATTTAGGGTTAATTAAAGTAGTTATCAGTAGCTGGTTGTAGATGGCATTGCTGGGAAGTAAAAGACATGAATAAATCAGTAAAACAGGTTAATTTAGGGTTAATAAAAGTATTAGCCATTCTGAACAACTCGGTAACTTGAGCATAGCCAGTATATATTTAACAATGAGAAATACACTTATTATTTTCATTAAATCTTTAATTCAGGTAAAAGAAAAAGTCATGGATACTGTTTATAAACGAATACCTTTCTCACAAAGACCGAAAGCAGACCAGCTGGAATTAGGTAATTATGAGGAAAATTGGATTATCTTGCTTGGTTCATTAAATATTTTTTTCAACATTTCAACCAATCAGAAGTTGATTAAAAACTAAAAGGGACTGAAACCTATGGGCATGGGGAGATTCAGTTGACTAACACAGACAGTCCCCGAACTCGTAATAGAACTAAAATAAGGAACTTGGAATAAAATTATGGCCTAACCCTAACCTTAACCTACGAAAGCACCAAAAGAGGATATTCAGAATGTTTAAAATCATCCATTTCTTTGTATTTTTCAAAATTTTGACATTTGTGATTTTCTCTCGATGTTCTTCCTTTAATGCTATTTTCCTATTTATTTTTACAGAGTGGCGTCACGGACGAGGCGGACATCTTGTTCTTCCAAGCAGTGATCATGCAAATGAGCCTGGCTCAAGATGGCGTCGTGTTATGACAATTAAAGACTATAAAGTGGAGAATAATGCTACCATGGCTCTAATAATAAGACAACAAAAATATGATGTAAGGATAGAGTTATTACTTGGGATATTGCTCATGTTTTCGAATATCAGCATTGATTTTTTCCTCAGTTAGGAGGGCTCTATACACAGCATTTAGAATGAAAAAACAATAAAACATTTTTAATAAATACAATACGTAAAATATTCGGTACTCGTGAGTATGTGTACCAGGTTATGGTTAAGCCATAATTTAATTCAGATTTTCCCTATTTTAGTGGACTGTTTGTGGTGGCGGAGTGAATATACCCCCTGCCCATAGGTTTCAGTCCCTTTTCACAACTTGATATAAAATAGGCGAACAAAATTAGTTACCTCCATATTCCCAATTTCCCAAACAATAATTTTCTTTTAATGTTTTAGGATGTTGTCGACCAATATACGAACCAAAGTCCTGAAACTAGTGTTGTTTCTCCAATGTTACCTGAAGATAATATGAAAGTCTATCATTTGGTAAGTACGATGCATTGCTCATGAAACTGAGCAAGAGTTCATTCAGATATAAACAGAACTAATGTCCATCTAAAACAAAGATTGGCAATTACTTTTCTGAGTGGGCCAGTTACAGATAATAGACTTAGTTACTGGGCCGGAGGCGCAAAATTCAATATGAAAGACTGTGAATAAAAAACAATTTATTTACAGAAGTTAGTTTGACAGCTAGGCTAACGTTTATATAACAATAAACAGCAAAATGTAACAATTGGGTTCATTATGAAGGAATTTTCATGAATGTTTTTAACTGGAATTTATATCAATGAAAACTGGGGCCCTGGAACATCGTATGGTGCACTTTGATAACCTATGGCCTAATTGACTTTTCTTTCCATTTGGAAAAATGTGTGAATCCTATCTTATCCTTGTGCAAACCATCCAAGATTATTGAAACTTTTGGGTGCAATCATGCACAAACAGAATTCCAATGAATTAATTTTCTCCATTTTCATAGAAGCAATTATAAAATTTATGGGGTCTGTTTTTTTCACCCTGTTAGTTATATCAGTGTGCTAACTGCTATAGCAGTGGTTCTTAAACTTTATAAGCCATACTCCGTTTTTAGAATTTGTCAATTCTCACGCCCCCCTCAAAAAAATAAACTACAAACTAGAGCTGTGTGCAGCTTTAACAGGCTTCCCGCGTAAAAAAAACTGAAGACGCGTTTTGCTCAATGGAGCGTGAAAGCGTGGTCAGTCATGCATAAAATTTGCAGTTTATGATGGGGGACTTATTATCTGCATGTGATGTAAATTTCAAGTCTCTAAGTAGTGTCGTTCTCGAGAAGAAGATGAAAATGTAAAATCCTATATTGCTCACTGGAGCGTATCGCCGAGGTCACTCATGCGTATCCTTGACATATCGTATCCGGAACAAGTCCATTAATCATTGTTATGAATTTCAACCCAATAGCATGTATCAATTTTGAGAAATCGCAAAAAAACTGAAGACCCGTTTTGCTCACTGGAGCGTGAAAGCGTGGTCAGTCATGCATAAAATTTGCAATTTATGATGGGGGACTTATTATCTGCATGTGATGTAAATTTCAAGTCTCTAAGTAGTGTCGTTCTCGAGAAGAAGATGAAAATGTAAAATCCTATATTGCTCACTGGAGCGTATCGCCGAGCTCACTCATGCGTATCCTTGACATATCGTATCCGGAACAAGTCCATTAATCATTGTTATGAATTTCAACCCAATAGCATGTATCAATTTTGAGAAATCGCAAAAAAACTGAAAACGCGTTTTGCTCACTGGAGCGTGAAAGCGTGGTCAGTCATGCATAAAATTTGCATTTTATTGCTAGCTGAGAACTTCTGCACATTTGAGGTGAATTTCAAGTTTGTAGGACCAATTTGAAAAAAAAATAATAAAAATAAATAATAATAATAATAAATAAATAATAATAATAATAAATAATAATAATAAAACACAGGAATACAATAGGTTCCCTGCTGACAAGCAGCGGGAAGCCTAATAACAGATAATATGGGCGGAAGAAAGAGTTAATTCATAAAAGACGTTGAAAATATGTGGATGTGATGTAAATAATGAACTGAATGAAGTTTTAAAAACAATAAAGTTCGTTGTTATTTTTAATAATGCATTATTAATTTAACAAATATTTATATTTTCAATTAGCTTCACGTCCCCTCAAATAATTTTCTACGCCGCCCACTATTTGAGAACTATTGCACTAGAATTATGCCATCAAACTTTTACTTAATTTTCCAGGTGAAATATACTGATGATATTGAGCAAAAACGAGAAAGTACAATTCCTCGAGACAGACACAAACACATCTTGGATTTATATTTACTTAGACTAATCAATATGAAAGTAAGTTAGGGTATTCATTCATTTTTCCATGAATTTTTGCGTTTTTTCCGTCCTAAATAATAATAAATTTTGATATTTTGATTCATCTTGTGTGTATTTCGAGGCTGCAGCGCTAACGATGGTATTCAGAGGCATTTCAATGTTTGCAGCACTTGCCACAATTTTTCTACTGCTCCGCTTGGGCTTCTTTTATATAAATCGAACAATTTTTATTAAATTTTCCAGGGCATTCTTCAAAACTATGTGGACGAAGTTTTTCAGTCGATATTAGATACTCAGAGCATACCAACGGCTGTCAAACATTTCTTTGGTTTTCTGGATGAATTGGCAAAGACTCACGGAATTGACGATCCTGAGATTTTACACATCTGGAAAACTAACAGGTGATCTATAAATATAATTTCAATGGTACTCTTGTAGTATGTGAACTTGGTTAAGAGTATATTTTTATTCCAAAAAAGTTGACGCCTGAAAATCAGTTTGAAGAGTTGGGCCAATTAATTCAGCTTATTAGCCAGAAAATACAATTCTATGTCTCTGATTTTACCAAATGTACACAAATCAATTTTTTTTCTTTATTTAGTGTCCTTGGTCGTTTCTGGGTGACAATTCTGAAGAATCCAGAATCAGTTTTTGACATTGATAAACCAGAGAGTGTGGAATCATCTATGGCAGTTATTGCTCAAACATTTATTGATGCCTGCTCGGTACAGGAACATAAACCAACCAAGGTAGGATACTTGCACAAATTTTTATATTTTGGGTGTCGCAACAGATGGCAATGTAGAGCCATGTGCAAGGGAGTGCAAGTCTCGAGTTGTTGTTTTATGTGGGTCATTATGCGTATACTGCAAGCATGCTGTAGCAAGAATAAAGTGCAAGTCTCGCTTGTAAGCGCCATAAAACAATGATTCTGTAGCAAGAATAAAGATGACTGTCCTATGTGATACAAGATTCTCGCTGCACAATAACACAATAATATTCCGTAATACTTCATCTGACGAGATTCATTTTCTGTTATACAACATTTGGGATTATCCTTATCTTTGTCCAGACTGGGACTTTTTTTAACAAGGTTCCGCGATAGCTAAGACTGGCCTTAAAATGGAGGACCGTTGCTTGAAAAATTTTTATTTTTAGGATTCACCAATCAACAAACAGCTTTATGCAAAGGAAATTCCAACTTATAAGAAGATGGTTCAGAAATATTATTCTGACGCTCACGAGATGCAGCCAGTCAGTGACCAGGACATGTGTGCCAACATGGCGGAAATCTCAAGAGTATGAATGATTTATTGTTTTTGTTTTTCTGACGAATGTCGGTGTTACTGCCTAGCACTATGGTTTCCAACGATTTTTCTATTAGTTGCTCTCATTGCCTATTTTGAACTTCTTATTCTTCTCTCCCTATGAATAAAAATCTGTTATTTTTTCATTCATAAGTGGCTCTTCAACTAGTTCTAAGCGTAACTCGCACTTTCAGACGCTTTTGGGTGTTGCTGCTCAGTAACTAGCTCTGGTTCCCCCTTGACATTCCCTTCCTGAGTGAATCTGTCATTTTTATATGACATGAATATCATTTTCTCGTTATTTATGTTCGAGTGATTTTTTTAATGGTTGAAAAAAACAAACTAAACTTGACTTACGGCTCCAGGTTTTGTATCGCTTGAATAATCTCTGATGTCTATTCATTCCTTCCTTTGCCTATTTTAGAATTTTTCATTCCTCCCTATTTCTAGCTCTGCATTTACTCATACATGAAAAATTTTTTTTTACAGAGCCATAATATTGAATTTGATGTCCATGTTGCCTACAATGAACTTTGGGGTTACGTCAACAAATACTATGAAGAGGTGAGTTTTTATTGGTTTGCTGCGAGTCGGGGTCTAAGGACATTCCATAGAAGTCATAGAAAATGATGAAGGAATAACATGAAATAGCTATCGGAAACGCTGACGCATCGATTTACCAAAAAAATAAATAATTAATAACTCGCTAATTACACATAATGCACATGCAAAATTTGAAGCAGAATCAACCTCGCTTTCGTGAGATATCGCGTAACATACGAAAGTGTCTAACAGATAAACAGACAAATACCTATCAATTACCGATCAAGATCGATAAGTAATGACCTATAGGACTTCGGTTGTTTCGATTGAGCCATCGTTTAACCGAGGTTTTCTAACAGTAGTCCTCTTGCGTCTAGTTATTCCCCAAGCAACCCATTTGCATGTTATAAGCCCAAAATAAATATGATTTGATCCCACGCAGGGTACTTGAGTTGTGATGATAAGCGTGTTCTTAACACTTAGCATAATATGCCAATCGTTGAGCCTGACCTGCGAAAGTGTTTTTTTGAGCTCCATTTTTCTTTGTGGGCCGCATTGGTACAAACGTAAATGCTGTTATATTAACTCAACGTCTTCGGTTTTGAGCCAATTAGGCTTTTTATTGCCGCATTATGTATTGTATTTAATTTTTTTTTTACTTTGTTTGTAGATTCACGAAACACTTGCTAATGATTCCAACACAACGCAGATGGTTATACAGAGGCTTCAACAGGCGTACACTTTGATTGACAGCTCCGTTAATAACCCTTGAGCTCTGATACTCCCTATTGAGCAATAGTTTGATTGGCTTTAATACTTCAGTGAACAGGAAGTTCAAAAACTTTTCTGGTTGTGGTGGACGAACTTTGACCTCTGTTATGCTCTAATGACTTCTCAGGGCTGATCGATATGGATTATTACTACAGTCTTGACTAAATTGGACTGCTTTTCCCAAATAAAACTTAAAGTAACATATGTACAATAATTTGAGGAAGCCAGAAAAATTAATTTTGTTCCCTTATTCGGTATTTATTCAAAAATTGTTTATTTTACAATTTTTAGATGGCCCTTTTAAAACAAGAAGTGGACAAGCAATACCTTATGAATTTTTTGCAGCTAGGATTGAAATATTCCCGATTCAGTGGAAATTTATATCGATTAAATTTTTCATATTAGTTTTTCAAATATCAAAAAGCACTGACATATTACTAATTGTTTTCATAATGAAATTTTGTTTTGTTTTTTATTTTTTTTCTAACTGCCCTAATTCTTGTTTATGTGACTTGTTGATATATTTCTTTGTTAGAGTTCAAGTTCTCATCATTGTTCTTCTCATTTTGAACTCTGTATTTTTCTGCTTCAGAAGTATATGTACCAATATGAAGGTAACAAATTTATTTCGCCTACTTTACATCAAGTTGTGTAAAGGGACTGAAACCTATGGGCAGGCGTGGGTATATTCACTTGGCTAACACAGACAGTCCTCGAACTCGTAATAGAACTAAAATAATGAAAATCGCAACAAAATTATGGCCCAAACTTAACCTGGTACACATACTACGGGAGTACATGTATTTTATCTAAAAATAGAAATGCCAATTAATCAAATATTTAGATAGATTCAAATTTACTTTAATTTGTATTCAAATTTATTTGTTTTTTTCATGAGATGTATAATATCTGCACTCTTAACAAGGCTTTAGGCAAGGACTACTCTGATTGTGAGAAATCTTTGAAACAAAATTTGGTGCTCCCGAAGTATTCGTACCAAGATGGCCACAACCTGAACATAGTATGTGTACCCGGTTAGGGTTTTTCAGGTTGTGCGTCATCTTGGTAAGAATACTTCCGCAGCGGCCAAAATCTTTCTGGTACTATCACATGACCAACTCCATTTATAATACGATACTTATGTCAGTGGTTTGTGAAAACAATTTCTTGTTTCGATGGTAGATGAATGCAGCAGCAAACATTTGGAACCCGACTTTCTTTGACATCATGAGTCAAGCAATTCCAATGATGCAATATAGTACAGTCATGTTTCGTACAGTTTTTTTCGAACCTCCAGAAGTATGTGCACCAAGATGGCGCACAACCTGAATATAGTATGTGTACCAGATTCCAGGTTTCAGGTTGTGCGCCATCTTTGTACACATACTTCGGGAACGCTGTTTTTTTAGCCTCAATAACTTCCATAGTTCTGGCCCTCTACACAGCAAAACAGCTGCGGCGTGTCATTTATGAACAGGGGCGTGGCCAGAATTTTTAAAAGGGGCGGGGTTTTGAAGTTTCTATTTGCCAAGTAAGATCGATACAGCTAGCACTGGTTCTCAATCTTTTTTTATTTCGTGGCCCATTTTTGCTGCCCAAAAATTTTTGTGGCCCATTAACTTTTCATTGCAACGCGAAAACTATCCGAAAATGGACTCTTAAACATATATAATCAGAATGGGAATAACCTCTCAGTAGCAGAAAACAGCATCGTAATTGATTGCTGCTATTTTCAAAATTAACTATCGTGACATAAATAAAACCAGCAATTTTTAATAGCTCTGTAGCCACCCTCAAAATTTATCTTTGGCTCAGCACTGGGCCATGGCCCACTGGTTGTGAGCTAGTGGGTCCGTCTGAACACTGGAAAACGTGTGTTTCCATGAGTCTTGAGGGTCTAAAAAGCGTTTCAAGCAACGAAAAATTACTATGTAAGATACAGAAATTGCTTAGGTTCCGACCCCCAAAACCACACCCCTAGCCACGCCCCCGTTTATGAGATCAAATGTGATTGTAATTTGTAATGACTTTCACTACAATCAGAATTATCAATTCATTGTGTGTTATTGAGGTGTTTTTTTCATCGAAATTGTGATTCTTTTTGCACACTGTCACTTACCAGAGGCACTAAGGTTGTGAATACCTGAAATATTTCATATTATTATTTGAAGTTTTTTATACTTTTGCTCTTTCCTTACATTTTAAGAATATTGGCACTAAGTATGTGAAAGTTCCTAAGCAGGGGTTCTCAAACTTTTTAAGCCACGCCCCCTTTTTAGAATTTGTCAAGTCTCGCACCTCACCCCACCTCAAAAATAACTAGCTAATGCAGGGGTTTCGTAGCTTTTTTCAGGACGACTCCAAAGGCAACTTTCAAGTGTCCAGCGCGTCCCAAGGTCAATATATATATTTTTCATGAAACTTCAGAGCTTCTTTCACTGGACTTTTGGGTTTGGTCATGTGGTGGTATTAAGTAAAATAAGTTAAAATCAAACAGTGATGTCACAATAAGCACCTACATTTTCTATAGCATAAGCATAGAGCAATGCCTACGAACCTGTTTTACAGTAAGCCATAGTACAAACTGCTAAATTTAACATGATTTGTCAAATCTTAGATGTTTTGTACATCCATCCTCTACCATACCTCAGCGACCCCACCGACCCCATGACTTATTTGCAACCCCACCTACTTATCACTCCGACCCAATTTGGCGTCGCGACCCCTGCTCTGGGAACCCCTGAGCTAATGTGTTCTAACGTGTATAGCTCTAGAACACGATTACTTCTATGCCTCTAACCTCAGAAAAATATCAACTCATGACTCCAACTCTTTAGATTCCAAAACAGGGCTTCCTGAAGGGGGTCACGGCCCCACACAGGGCCCTGCAACAAATTTTAGGGGCCGTCAAAAGTATATCAATTTCACACAATTTGTATATCTATTGCTATTTTTTGACTTTCGATTCGAAACACAATTATTAAAACTAGTGCAAAACATAAATCTCGCTATTTTGAGAGAATACATAGGATCATAGAAGCACCCTTGCATAACAATGTGAAATTAACAAGGGTTGCGGAAGATTTTAATATATAGGGGGGGGGGGGGGGCACAACCCACACGTTTGGGCAGTCCTGCTCTAAAGTACCAAAATCACCACTCAGAAACAAAACCTTTTCTGTGTCAGTTGGACACATTACTTTTGGTTTTTTTTGCAAAATGATACAAGTTTAATATTAACAATCTTCACACTATTCTGTACTAATTTTATCTACTTTATTAGGCGCTCCAGAAGTATGTGTACCAATATGGAGGTTACTAATTTTGGTCACCTTCTTTACATCAAGTTGGGTAAAGGGACGGAAGCCTATGGGGAAAAAAATTATGGCCTAACCCCAACCTGGTACACATACTACGGGAGTACCCTTTCTTTATTGCTTGATATAAAAAATTTGTGCCATATTAGAATTTTTTTATTTTTTATTATTTAAAGTATGGTGACCCCTCAAAAAAACAGAGCCAGAATTTTTCAATTACTTTTATGAAAATTAAAGAAATTTAAATAACAATTGATTTCTGTTTGTGTATGACTGTACCAAGAAGTTTCAGTGATTCAGGACTCTTTGCACCAAAGTTATGTTCGAAGTGACAACCTTGGGGCTGGAGACAGACTTGCATCTATGTTATATAATATGACATAATTATTCATAATGACTTCTCTGTTCTTACTTTTCATTAATTAATAGAATGGTTTTATGCAAGTGATTCTGCATGTCACGCCATGTTTGTCGTTTTCAGACATATCGTTGTTGGAATTTTCATGTATGTCTTATGCTTTTTAAGAATCATCACCTGACCCTATAAACACCTCACAAGTTACGGCTTCCTCCACTATCAAGTCCATGCTTCCGAAAAACAAATAACTAACTAATCGTGTTATTTCACGTTTTGTGATTGGCATTCACGATACAAATATAATAGTCAATTTTACAGGAGTTCCTCAGGTTTTTAAAATGTTTCATTTGGTGTTGCGCTCAAACAAAAAGTTTGTAGTGCAAAGTGCAAAAGTACGGCTTTAATTCATCATCAGTTTTATGTCCATATTGCTAAGTTTATAACAATGTTGTTTAGTATAAGTCCACATTGTGGGGAAACTGTTTCTATATTGGTGTGTGTTTGTGGCTGAATGTAAAATTTCAAATTATATGATTTTAGTAAAATAGTACCATGAAATTCTTTTCCTCTGTAATCGTGTATGTTCTAATTTTTTTTTTTAAACTAATTTTTTGCTGTTTTTTTCTGAATAAACTTGTCAACATCTACTATATAGATTTTTATGGTTAATTTAGCCCCACAGTCGATTGGTCTGTAGTTTATTTGGACCTTCAGAAGTATGTGTACCAAGATGGCGCACAACCTGTACATAGTATGTGTACCAGGTCAGGATTCGGGTTGTGCGCTGTCTTGGTGCACATACTTCGGGAGCGCCGTTTATTTGGCGCTCGCGTAGTATGTGTACCAAGATGGCGCACAACCCGAAAATAGTATGTATACCAAGTTAGAGTCACGTTGTGCGCCATCTTGGTACACATACTACGGTATCGCCGTTTATTTATCACCCAAATGGATATACACTTGATGCGAACAAAAACTAGAAAAAAAAAAGGCGAAAATGGCATTTGTGTGAAGGGGGGCGCGAATAAAACAAAGTTGGTTATCGAGCAGCGACACCCGTGAAAAAGGTCAAACTTTGATACAGGTTGAAAAGAAGGAAGTAGAACAAATATATGTAATTAAAATGATTAATGTCAAAAAACAAAATCTGTTACAAAAAAAGAGAGAGACTTTAGACTACAAGACTTGTTCTTTCACAAGTCGCCGTGAGGTTAGTTTAAAAATAATGATATAAATTATATAAGTCTGAGGAACGTTACAAAAACATATTTGTGTTAGTGTGCAGCAAGGCTTTTGAATCACCTCGGTTGGTTATTTTCACTCTTGCTACAGTATCCTTGCAGTATACTATGCATACGATCTGCCAACACAAAAGAATTGATGAAACTCAATGGACATTCATGTCAGTTTGTAGGATGTTAGGGTTGTACGGTGGCTACAGGTTACCTGTATATGCGGTGATCCAGGGGTATGTGAACCAATATGGCGGTGCCGGAACGTAACTGTAGTATGTGTACCAAATTAAGATGAGACCATTAATCCAGGTACAAATGCTACGGGAGTCACTTGGATTCGTAACATGAGTAAAATTGTGTCCTAACCCAATGGTTCCCAACCTTTTTTATGTCGCGGCACGCTATTGAGCTATTTAAATATTCGCGGCACACCTATTACAAAACAAGAACATTTCCCACTCTTGAAGCTTTTTAGCCATAAAATAATAAAAAACATAGAAGATCGGATAAGGGAAATTTTATTCTTGTTAATATAACATATACTGTATTTAAAATGGATGGATAATATTTACCGATAATATAACTGCTTTCTTACAATAACGTACACGAGATCCACCTTCGGAGCACCTCACAATTTTCACCGATGAACGAATCTTTTCACGTTATAAATTTCGTGCAAGGCCCGGGCATAATTTGATGAAAAAGATCGTTGCATTTACTATGTCGAAACGCCTATTCGACTTTTCAGACCACAGAAACTATACGAAAAATAACCGCTTCTTTGTTCGAGATATGGAATAATCG